GCCCTTAATAACTGAGGATAACAGAATAATGACACAGTCAGTTAAGTGACTCAGAACTAACCAGAATAATCTTTCCTGATAAATTAAAGAGGTGATCAACTGGATTTTTTAAAAAAAATTACTACAGTGTCAGAAACTAAATTTCTTTTTTTTTTTAGATTTATTTCTAACTACAGCAATACACAGGTAGCTATATGATTTGCAAAATTCAGCTCTGAAATGAAAAATGAAATTGGAGATGAAAATTCTAAAGATAATACTAAGGTAACTGAAATTCTTTTGGAGAACTAAAGTCAAACTACTGTGGCTGCTCAGCTTGGTCTCAAAACTTCAGTCAACTTTAAAGAAACGAAAAGTTGCTCTATGACTATGAGAGACTGAGGTTCAGCTGGGGATCCAGTCAAAACCACACTGAGAACAGAACTAGATACAGCTTAGAAAAGTGAAACCGACATCGACAATTTCTAAGAGGTTTTGGCACCAGAGGAATGGCACGTGAATGGCAGACGGGGCAGTGGTGTGTGCACATGCCGAGGAGAGGATGCTAACCTGAAAGAAAGCACCATGGGCCTCCATGCCACATGGCCAGCAGCACCTCAATTTGCACAAAAAGCTCCCCGGGTAACCATGATGTCACTCTGCATCCATCATCACTCACACTGTGGGCTGGGAGGACGCGAGGGGCAGAGAAGGACCCCAGACCTGGACACTGAGTCAGGCCACGCCTGGCAGCAGGGGAAGACCCAAACAGCCTGGCGATGCCCGCCCCGCCCCCTTGCCCTCCTGAGTCCTCACAGGGACTGAGCAAGATGCACCTCAACCGTCCCTGAACAGCAGGTTATGTTGTGCACAGAGATGCCATGTAGAAACACGCTCATGTCAGGTATCCCTGACACTCACGTTTAAATCAAATGCAATTACTTACGACTGAGGGATTGCATATAGCTTCCACAGGGCACAAGCGCTAAAATGCTCACCTCAATTAAACAAATACCAACATCCACTGTGTACTACTTGTTAAAAAGTGAACAAGATTAATGGAAACTAGAACATCACACGATTTACTTTCCTATCAAAAAACAACTGAGAAAAATCACTGCCAAAGCACAGAGCAAATACTCGAAAGATAAACTAAGGCATGACCCACGTTTGCTGAGACTGAGGACTATGAATTCCCACTGCACGACTGGAGCTTGGTGGACAGGTGGGGCCTGGGAACCAGGAGAGGCCCTGGCCGCCTGGAGGCGGCGTGGGAGGAACCAGGAGCAGGATAAGCGGGAGCCGTGCCCACGAGCGAAGGGGCATCTCTCGCAAGGGTGGGACCAGCCCTGGGAGCACCCCACAGAGCATCAAGGCCAGCACGTGCACGGACCCCAGGATGGCTGGAGACGTGAGAAAGACATGAGAGGACACAGGGGCCTCAGGTGGCATCTCCGAGGCGCTGCCCAGACAGCTATTTCATGCTGGACTGTAAAGTAGAACCTGTCGGGCTGTGAGTAGTCAGAGTGACAGGGGCTCAAGGGGTTCTGAGCCTGATGTTCTGGCCACCTCTCCCCCACCCTCCGGAGGGAACGAGGATTTGTCTTAAGACAGCTGAAATTTAGGAAATTGTAATAAGTTGGCTTAAAGCTCAACATTCAGAAAACAAAGATCATGGCATCCGGTCCCATCACTTCATGGCAAATAGATGGAGAAACAGTGGAAACCGTGGCTGACTTTGTATTTCTGGGCTCCAAAATCACTGCAGATGGTACCCGCAGCCATGAAATTAAAAGATGCTTACTCTTTGGAAGGAAAGTTATGACCAACCTAGACAGCATATTAAAAAGCAGAGACATTACTTTGCCAACAAAGGTCCATCTAGTCAAGGCTATGGTTTTTCCAGTAGTCATGTATGGATCTGAGAGTTGGACTATAAAGAAAGCCGAGTGCCGAAGAATTGATGCTTTTGATCTGTGGTGTTGGAGATGACTCTTGAGAGTCCCTTGGACTGCAAGGAGATCCAACCAGTCCATCCTAGAGGAGATTAGTCCTGGGTGTTCTTGGAAGGACTGATGCTGAAGCTGAAACTCCGGTACTTTGGCCACCTGATGTGAAGAGCTGACTCATCTGAAAAGACCCTGATGCTGGGAAAGATTGAGGGCAGGAGGAAAAGGGGACAACAGAGGATGAGATGGTTGGATGACATCACTGACTCGATGGACATGAGTCTGAGTAAACTCCAGGAGTTGGTGAAGGACAGGGAGGCCTGGCGTGCTGTGGTTCATGGGGTCGCAAAGAGTTGGACACGACTGAGCGACTGAATTGAACTGAGTAAGTATTAAGAGCTAAGTATACATGAGGCACATGCATTACAGGCACACAAATAACTGAAACTGCAAGGAGTTAAAACACTTAGTGTGCGCGTTGAGTGTGCATGTGGACACATGTGTGCAGGGCCTGCTGTACAACAAGTCCTTTATTTGTGAACCAGGGATTGGTTAACTGTTGGTACAAGAGTTCGGTACAGCAGGGCCCAAATCATTTGTTTGTGAATGTGCAAACTCCCAATAAACCTTCATGGTGGCACATGTCACCTGAACTGATAAGGATCTTGATATCTCTCCTAATCTAATTTCACCCATTTCCCTGCCGCAATCGCTACTGGGATGTAACATGAACTGTGGCATATGCCACTATATTACCTTCCTAAAGCTCCCAAATGTTGAAATTCCCAAAGTCACCTAGCCCAAGAGTTTTGAAAAAGACTGCAGATCGAAAGCTCCAGAGGCTGTTGACAGACCCCCTTGAGACCAGTGATCCACCCAGGGAGTTAGGTTTGCTCATGCGAAGTCAGAACTCAGCTTACACAGAAGGTGCATGTCATCAACGGCCCTGGATAACTGATCACTACCCTTGAGCTCATGGACTGGGCTATAAGACGCTCCACCAAGGTAAAGGGCAGTGCTGGGAACCAATGGACAGGATACTCCCTCGTAGATAATCATCTTGCACATAAAACACATGTAATTCCCATAGGTTCCATCTAAAACACCACGCCTACCCTCCAGTGGCCATATCACATACGCAGAGTGTACGGCTGGAGTCTTGACACTTAAGCAGGTGCCTGAGGACAAAGGACTCATGACCACATGGGCAAAGGGAGGACCCTGCAGGGAGGATGTGGGAAGTCTTCCCTGTGCGCTGTGGGCAGCTGGCGAGGCCGTGGGGTAGAGTGTAGGGTCAGCACTGGCCACGCTGCAGATTTTACTGAAGACACTACAAAAATTCAAAGCAAGTTTCCGACAGGATCTGACATACAGTAAAATGATGTATCTGGGATGTGAGCTGTCATCCAGTCTGGACACAGAAAAGAATGTATACCTGAACAAACCTAATTCCCAGGGTGGATCACTGGGTCTCAAGGTCATCTGAACAGCCTCTGGAACTTTTGATCTGCAATCTTTTTCAAAACTCTTAGGCTAGGTGACTTTGGGAATTTCAACATTTGGGAGCTTTAGGAAGGTGATATACGAAGCAGCATTTAGGAAGGCAATGAATGGCCTTACGGGAGAAAGATCAACTATGATCAGCTTTAGGCAGAAGGCTCAAACGTCTATAATGATGGATGGTGACTTCAGGAATTAAATACCTACAATCACATAAACATTACTAATTTAATGATTCTGATTCTCAGCTTATACTTCTGGCATCATTGTATCATTACCCCTAATATGAACAACTTGATGCTTTCAAATTGTGGTGCTGGAGAAGACTCTTGAGAGTCCCTTGGATGGCAAGGAGATCAAACCAGTCAATCCTAAAGGAAATCAACCCTGAATATTCATTGGAAGGACTGACATTGAAGCTGAAGCTCCAATACTCTGGCCACCTGATGCAAACAGCCGACTCACTGGAAAAGACCCTGATGCTAGGAAAGATTGAGGGCAAGAGGAGAAGACGGCGACAGAGGATAAGACAGTTGGATGGCATCACCAACTCAATGGACATGAGTCTGAGCAAACTCTAGAAGATAGTGAGGTACAGGAAACCTGGCGTGCTACAGTCCATGGAGTTGCAAAGAGTCTGACACGACTTAGTGACTGAACAACAACATGAACAGTAACAATAAAAAAAAAACATATTTAAAGAGTAAATGATGCTATCACCATCTAATAAAAGCATCACACAACAAAAAATGACAGGATATCACAACAAATTGTTGAACGAATAAAGGTAACACAACTTTGCAGCAGGTCACAGGTGCAGGCACACGTACCCCAAAGACCTGATATCTAATAAGAACAGAACCATGTTCACACCAGGCAACACCAACATGTTAGTAGGTGGCCTGACTTTATGTATTCCATGGTACTTCATACAAAGAAAGAAGTATCTGCTCAATCAAAAATGTATTTCTTTCAATGAGCAAGTTATTTCTAAAACACACAATACCAAGTGATCTAAGTGACATTTATTTGACGTCACACGATAATACTGGAACTGTCTGCCATCTTTCCACAGTTGAGTTTTCTCTGCTAAATGATGATGATCTTACTTCCATACCTTCTCCTTGGATCTTTCACCTCTCCGGCAACCATAACTGGGTCTTCCATAGAAGCGACCAAATGTCTTAAGTAAATTTTTTGATGAAGGTCGCAAGGTCACTGCATAAAACTGCACTCAGTCTACTGCTTCTATGCAGGTAAGAAGCACCCCAGGAAGCAAGTGTGCATTACTGAGATGATCACACACTCTGAGGTGTAATTTAATTATCCTCTGGAATTTAAGGTTATCTCTAAGCCATTTTAAGCACTAATAATTTAAAGTCTCCTAAACTCCAAACTATCAAAAAGTGCATTTAAGCTAATAAAGATTTAAAAATCAAGCCAATCTCTTAGTTAAATATGAAAAGAATGGGAACAAAAAGAAAAGCATCTTAAGCATGTATCAAGAAAAGCAAATCCATATTCATTCTCAGGATGCATGGACCTGGAGACCAGTAATCTGAAACCACCCACCTGTTGGGGGCAGGCAGTCCCTCCAGTCGAAGTAGCCAGCGTAAATGCCAGGTTCCAAGGAGCCCACGATGGGGTCTGCCTTCAGCTCAATGTAGCTTTCAAACAGCCTCTGGTCCAGATCTTTGAGTGAGGCCATGCTCACCTGTGAGCACAGTGGGAGCACACCAGTGAGACCGTGCTCGCTCAAGCGCACAAGTGGGAGCACGCACGGGCGTCTACTCGTGGGTGAAGAAACGGCAGAACAATGTAAGTAAACGCTAAGCTGGTTTGAACAGTACTTACCGGCTTTCCCACAAAAAGGCGTGACTTTTACTTCGCCACTGCTAATAAAGAGCACTAGCACGGCAGGTGCCCTGCTTCCCCACTGTGTACACAGGGCTCTGAAGCTCACTCAAAACAGTTACAGAAACATAAAATCATTGTTTTATTTTAATGCTTCCAACTTAAATTTTCTAATTTACTATTGAAAAAACTTTTTTGGTAAGAATACTTTGTAAAAATTAAACTTTTGAGAAAGAAAAAAATTACAGAAAAAAAGCCCTGTTATTTTCATTTCAAAGATAACAGAAAGAGCACTTTTAACAGAGCCAGCGCTATAGAAAAACAGTGGGCAGCAGGGGGTGGGGTGGGTGTGGGTATGTGTGTGTGTGTGCGCGCACGCGTGCGCAAACTGCTGGGTAAGACAGGCTCAAGAGGCTCAAGGAAGGACTGTACAAGACTCTATAAGATGAAGAACAGAGCCACTCTTTTGTAGTAACTATAAATGGAGGGTAACCTTTGACAGTTGTATTAAAAAAACAACAAAATTTTAACTAGAATAAATAAAAACAGCAAAAAAAATTATATAGAATTAAGCTAAAAATAATCAAATATGTAAAATACATTGCCTATGGTTCAAGTGACTCAAAAATCTTTAAAACTGCTTGCTGTAAACGAGCTTCCTTGGACTTAAAAAAAAAAAAACACCTGTCCTTTCTCTACCTCCATGCTGAAATATTGGCAAGAGATTTACAGGTGTCACAGAAAACCTCACTCAAGAATTGAATGCCACACAACTAAAAGACTCCACATGCCATAACTAAGACATGGCTCGGCCAAATAAGCAATAAATAAATAAAAATAAATATACATGTATAAAAAAGAGAGTCTTCCCTCCCTGGCCTGTGAATGTCTCAGGAGATAGGAGAGGTTGGGGCTGGGGGCCCCATCCCATCCATCTCTCTCTAGGCATTCGACTTTAAAAAAAAAATTGTAATTTAATGCCAGACTTTAATGGCTATTATAACATTCTTGGGTAGATCAAAAATCTGCAACTATCCAAACTGTAAATTAGATCATTCTTTTAAAAAGACTGGCACAGAGTATAACAGCTTTTTATATATGTAAGGATCATTCTTTGGATTTATGTAATTACAGCTACTGCAGTAAAATTATAAGCCAAAGTTTATTAACCATACAGCTCTGGTTTTCCCTTCTCAAAGGGCTCAGAGACTGGCCTGCAGCCTCTGAGCCCCTTTAAAGAGACCGTTCTCACCAATGAGCACATGAGAAAGTGTTAACCTGCCAAGCAAGGAAAGACATGCAAAAGAAAACACCACAAGGGGATGTTTCCTATCAAATGCGAACTAATCAGCAGTGACAGCCAAATGTAAGGGCACAGCTTCTGAACAGCAACCTGGCAGGCAGAGTCTGCCAGGAGGGAGCCTCTGCAGCAGCAGTTCACTTCCAGGAATTTACTGTGAGGAAGGGAGGAGGGTGACGTGGCCAGCATCCCCTCTCAGTGACAGCCACAAAGTCACCCGAAGGTTCCCAGCAGGAAAAAGTGAAAACAAGAATTTTACAATGGCCCATCCAACAGTAACAAATACTATAAAGCCATAAAACTCACATTTATAAAAATGGAAAAGTGCTCACAACAGAATAGCCAATAGAAAAAGATATATTCATTATAAACTGAATTCAGAAAATTGTTTCATATTTTAATGACATATATAGACACAGGTCTATGTAAGATACTAATTACTATATATTCTAAAATAAGAGTGTTTATATTTGGAGGATTACAGGTGATTAAAAAAAACTTTTTTAGATTTTTCAGTATTTCTCCTTTTAAAAAATGATTAGGTCTTAATTTTAAAAAAAATCAATTATTTTTGGCCGTGCTGACTTTCCCTGTTGGGTGGGCCGTCTCCAGTTACGCTGCACGGGCTTCTCGCTGCGGCTCCTCATATTGCACAGCATGGGCTCCAGAGCGTTCCGGCTTCAGCAGTCGTGGTGCATGGGCTTAGCTGCCCTGAGGCACGTGGAATGTTCCAGACCAGGGATTGAACCTGCGTCCCTGCACTGGCAGGTGGGTTCTTAACCACTGGATCACCAGGGAAGTCATAGGTCTTACTTTTACAATAAGGAAGAAAAAATGCATGATAAAAAACATTTTCAACACTTAAGACTGGGAGGCGCTGGCACCGCACATGGACACGCACAGGCACGCAGGGCTCCACAGCACAGCCCAACGAAGGCCTCCAACGGGGCTCATGCTAAAGGAGTGTCTCGCAGCGAAAGATGGTTTGGAAATGCTGACAAGTTTCGTGTTTATTATTTAATGCTGTTTTATGAAGTTCAAAATGATATACATTTAAGCAACCAGCGTCTGATCCTATTCCTCTGGTGTCTCCTCATAGAAACGATTTTGTCCTTTATTTTAGCACAGGCATGATGCCAGAACAGCTGGCACTTTGGACTCAGCCTGAGAGGCCTGCTTTGTTAACTTCCCTCTCTCTGAGCATCTTTCTGCATGAAAAACAGAAAGAAATTAATTTCCTTAATTACTTCAGAGAGCTATTTTCATCAAACCAAACTGTAAAAAAAATCATTCCAGTTTTAAAGGATGAAAAGGGAAGAAGTGAGTTAGTGGCTCAGTCGTGTCCGATTCTGCAAGCCCGTGGACTGTGGCTCACCAGGCTCTTCTGTCCATGGGATTCTTCAGGCAAGAACACTGGAGTGGGTTGCCATTCCCTTCTGCAGAGGGTCTTCCCAACCCAGGGACCCAGCCTGTGTCCGCTGCACCGAAGGCAGATGCCTCACCGTCTGAGCCGCCAGGGAAGCCCCAAAGGATGACCGGCCCCTAATTTATGGTCCCCTAACACGCGCGATCACTCACGTGAGGACTAATCCTGCTCTTGCAGACCAAGAGGGAGAGTAAGGGAGCTGAAAAGGCCAGTGAAGCTCCTCATGAAACGGTGCAGAAGGAACTGTGTCTGGAGAAACTCTGGCCTAGTCCCCGAGCACGGCTCGGCGGGGACCTGCGAGAGGCGGGGTCCGAGGGGAGAGGACGCCCAGCAGCAGCTCTGAGGGGCCTTCCCTCTGACCGCAGAGCAGAGCACGGGCGACCAGTGTTCAGGGTATCTGAATGCCCGGGACTGCTCTCGGATCTGGGCCTCCGGAGTTATGTTACCTGAGAAGGGAACCATGAAAAACAGGGGCAGCTGGCAGCTTTTTTACCTTAATGCAAGAAACATGTTTTACTTCACTGTCATCATGAAATTAATAAATCCACTCATAAAAAACAGAAACAGCACAAAGACTATAAATCTAGTTTACTGTCTATTCCTTTAATGCTCAGTTGAATGCTTTCAAAATATTCAATTCCAAATTCTGAGTGCCACAAATAGCACCGCCCAGATCCTCAAATAACCTTGGTTTCAGAACACAAGAGCCTGGACAAAGACTGGGAAGGATATAAGAGCCCACCTGCATGTCAATTTCCTTCTGCTTCTTACTGACACAGATTGAATCTACAGAAAATCCCCACTTTTAACTTATGCTCAAAATTCTCCAAGCCAGGCTTCAACAATACATGAACCATGAACTTCCAGATGTTCAAACTGGCTTTAGAAAAGGCAGAGGAACCAGAGATCAAATTGACAACATCCGCTGGATCATCAAAAAAGCAACAGAGTTCCAGAAAAACATCTATTCCTGCTTTACTGACTATGCCAAAGCCTTTGACTGTGTGGATCACAATAAACTCCGGAAAATTCTGAAAGAAATGGCAAAACCAGACCACGTGACCTGGCTCTTGAGAAATCTGTATGCAGGTCAGGAAGCAACAGTTAGAACTGGACATGGAACAACAGACTGGCTCCAAATAGGAAAAGGAGTACGTCAAGGCTGTATATTGTCACCCTGCTTATTTAACTTATATGCAGAGTCCATCATGAGAAACGCTGGGCTGGATGAAGCACAAGCTGGAATCAAGATTGCTGGGAGAAATACCAATAACCTCAGATATGCAGATGACACCACCCTTATGGCAGAAAGCGAAGAAGAACTAAAGAGCCTCTTGAAGAAAAGTCAAAGAGGAGAGTGAAAATGTTGGCTTTAAGCTCAACATTCAGAAAACAAAGATCATGGGATCTGGTCCCATCACTTCATGGCAAATCGATGGGGAAACAGTGGCTGACTTTATTTTTCTGGGCTCCAAAATCACTGCAGATGGTACCCGCAGCCATGAAATTAAAAGATGCTTACTCCTTGGAAGGGAAGTTATGACCAACCTAGACAGGCTATTAAAAGGCAGAGACATTACTTTGCTAACAAAGGTCCATCTAGTCAAGGTTATGGTTTTTCCAGTAGTCATGTATGGATGTGAGAGTTGGACTGTAAAGAAAGCTGAGTGCTGAAGAATTGATGCTTTTGAACTGTGGCGTTGGAGAAAACTCTTGAAAGTCCCTTGAACTGCAAGGAGATCCAACCAGTCCATCCTAAAGGAGATCAGTCCTGAACGTGCATTGGAAGGACTGACGTTGAAGCTGAAACTCCAATACTTTGGCTACCTGATGCAAAGAGCTGACTCATTTGAAAAGACCCTGATGCTGGGAAAGATTGAACGTGGAAGGAGAAGGGGACAACAGAGGATGAGATGGTTGGATAGCATCACCAAGTCAATGGACATGAGTCTGAGTAAACTCCAGGAGTTGGTGATGGACAGGGAGGCCTCACGTGCTGCAGTCCATGGGGTTGCAGAGAGTCGGATGCGACTGAGGGACTGAACTGAACTCTCTCCCTGCTTCTATCTGCAGCTCCTAATCATTTCATGCATTTTTAGAATGGATAAACGACTTCTCCAATAATAATGTTAGTGTCATTATTATTATTGCATAAAAACAAAATGCCCACTTTCTACAAATACTAACTTTTTACTGCAAGAAAACACCTTGTAATTCTCAACCAAAAATTTCTGGAAATAAACTCAACATTTGGCCCTGAAGTCTTAAGCCACAACATTTCTCATCAGGATGATTAATCTTTACGAAAAGGCAGGAAAAGAAGACACAGCCACCCACTCTGACATTTTCTATCTTTAAAAAAAAAATCCCAATCAAGTTCATGAACTGGAACCATCATTTGTAAAAAGTATGCAATCCATCAAGAGCACTTTTTGACTGTAAGATTAACAAGATCACTATCTTATTCTGTGCACTAAGAAAACTGTACTGACATTAAAAAAAGTGGCTCCAGCTTGCTTTACTTAGAAATCTGATAAACCTCTGCCTAGGAACCAAGCAACCTTTAATAATAACAAGATCACTGCATCTTTTTCTTTTCTGATTACTTGAAAAATATAAACACCAAAGTGCAACATCATTTAAAAAAACAAGAACACTCCAATGATTTATTTATGCAGGACTCATTTTTGTCCAGTTCTCCACATGCAGCACTGGAGAGGGGAGGTGGTGTATTTTTCAGGAAAGACAAAGCAACCTAGAGCTGTGCCTGCGTGCATGTGTGTGCACACATGTGTACGTGTGCACCACACCTGTGCAAATGCTTCAGCAGGCACGCAAAAGCTCCGCTGTGGTCCCCAGAGCAGGAGAGAGGAAGGAGAGGTGATTGTGAGGTTCAGGGTTTGCTGTTGGCTAGTGACAGCTCTAACCTGAGAGGAGACGCATCTGAGATGCCTCTGGAAGCCTTTCTCTCCTTTCCTTCCCTCAGTTTTGGGAAGCCTGGGTGAGAAATATGCCAGCTCTAGTCCTGCAAGGACTCTGCTCCAGAGAAAGGGAAGAGCATTAACTCCAGGTGAGCTGTGAGAAGGGGCTGGGGAGTGAGGGTGAGAGGAGCAGCGGGCGGAGCGAGCGGGGTGGGGCGGCACGGAGAAAACGGCTGAAACAAGCGGGTGGCAGGACCCCCGTCCCTTCACGAGGCTTTACCTGTGCTATTTTTTCTATTCCCTGGAAGTTGTGTTTTTCAAAATGGTCTGCTATGTTTAGGAAGGTGTGACGTTCTAGGTAGCAGCAATTACTCAGGACTATCAAAAGTCGCTGTTCCTAAAACCAAAACAAATTTTTAAAAATTACATTTACAGTAACAAATTGAAAATTTAACAGATAACATTTATCACTTGCTAATTACAATCTCTTAGTGTTTCATATCCATATTCAGCACTTTATCTTGGTTTCTTCTTTCCATAACAGAGAAACATAATACAAATCTGTAATTCTACTAACTAATCACTATGACCTAATACACCGAAGAGTCAAATCATGTTTAACTCAAATTCCTTCGGAAATCTTACAACTGTATGGAAAGCAGACGGATGGAGCACAGGAAACCAGTGAGATGGGGTCAGGTGCTGTTCTTAGGAAAGGGGTTCTACTTTGCTGTTTATTTTACATGTTTTGCACCCAAAATAGCTATAAAAATGGGTATTAAAAATAACTACCAAAAAATGTTGAAACTTTTGGAAAATAACTTGTAAATTTTTCATAACTTGGAAGAAAACTGTAATGGCACCTACAGACGGGCTCCCTCAGCCACGAGGCCGTCGCAGCCCTCCTCACGGAGGGTGTCCTCCTTGGGGGAAGCGAGGGGACAGAGGCTGGGCACCTGCCCAGTCAGCCCCAGAGAGGGCCATGCTACACCCCCAGGCTTCTGGCTGCTCACGGTGATTTCACATCAAAGTGACCAGACCCCGAGGCTGACGAATCAATCCTCTTCGTAGAGTTCAGAAGAACTGGCTTGCAAGGAAAGTTCTAGGAACGGCTCTGTCCCACCTCGTCAGGGTGAGGGTTTCTCTAGAACAAGTGTGACTAATCCGAGGCCTCGGTTTAGATCCTGACTGAACTTAGGGCAGATCCTCCCCAGGAGACACTCCCAGCTGTACTGGGCTCGCTGTGGTGCACTCACCAGTGACAGACGTCGGGAGGGAAGGGCAGGTGCGCAGACCACAGGGCCGCCCTGGCTCGGTCCGCACTGCCCAAGAGTCCCATTCAGGGCCTGCACAGTGTGCAAACTGCTAGGTCTCTATTTAAAGTTTCATTATTTAAGTTCTGGCAGAGTGTGGTCTACTTGCTGTCTTTTGTAGTTGTCAAAAAATATAATTAAAAGGCCCAGAATTATTATGGTGATTTAAAAGCAATGAAACGGCCTGAATGACTCTATGGATGAGAAGTGGAGGTTAAAACAAAGAAAATGAGCTATCATCTACCCTCCTCCACGCTCCACGTTCAAATCTTGTGAGATGGCCACTGTGAGACTGGGGGTGACAGGCAAGGCTGGGGGAGGCCGGACCCCTGCCCGCGCCCCATGCCGCCATCATGTGACCCTTGTAAGGCACTTGACATGCAGTCACGTGACTCCTCAGCAGCCAATCTGATCTCAGCTGGTCTCCCAGGCCCACAGTCCATCCTTAATCGCCTTCCCTGGGCGAGCCGGTTGCCAAGCACCCTCCCCCTTCCCCACCCGCCAGTGGCCTGCTCCAGCCTGCCCCGACTCCTCTGCCCTGTTCTGTGGCCCATCCGAGGCAGGATCTGCAGACTGAGGACACTACAGTCTCAGGCACCATCCTGGCCCTCCACAGCGTCTCTGTGATGCAGGCATCAGGCCACCCTCCATGGTGCCTGAAGCCCTTCAGTCAGTGAACAGCAGCCAGGAGAGAGAACCAGCGACAAGCCCCCTTTCATCCCATGCTGCCCTCTGCTGGGAACCAGGACAAGACCCTGCAAGGACCTGAATCCCCAGGGTCAAATCTAATGCAGTATCATCCAGTGGAGAAACGCACAGGGACTGAGCTTGGCACCAAATCTGGAACAATCTCAGGAGAGGGGGACAGGAGACAGTGTGACCCACTCAGGGTTCTGGCTGAGAGCAGGCAGACAGAGGCTAAGGCGTGGTTCGAGGGGGGGTCCAGGCTCTGAGGAGAACTGGGCCCAGCAGGCGTTGTCAGTCCGAGAAGGAAGATGCTGAGCACGCAGCAGCCGCCTCTGCGCTGGGAAGACTGTCATGTGCAAACAGGGCCTGTCCCAAAGACCGGGAAAGGGGCAGCCCTCCCTTCCACTGAGAAGGACGCTGCCTCGGCACATGCTTCTCCAGCCTTCTGTTCATGTTCACGGCGGAAGCACGGTCTGAACTCACCAGACGGTTTCCACTCACCCTTGACCCAGCGCAGGCGGTGCCCCACAGCCGTCCACTCACCCCCACGAGCCCTGGCTTCCGTCTGACCTGCGGGCACTCCAACAGTCTGCTTTTCCGTCTGGATTTCTTCCTCTCTGATGCTTCCTTCTCTGGAGCTCCCAGTCTCTCTCTTCAGGCCTCCCCTTGGATCCTGAACCCCAATATGATTTCTGTATACGTGGTCTCCTCTCTATCCACTAGGACTGTCCCTCGTATCCTCATCCCATCCCAGGCCTCACACTGCTGATTTACAAATCTGTACCTGGACTTCTCTCCTGGGGGCCAACTGCCCACTAGACATCCCATCTGAACACCTCTCATTCAACACATCTGGTCCCAAACTGATGTTTTAATCTTTCTGTAGAACCAATTTTCTTCCCGAATTCTCTCTGTGAACAAGTACTATTATCTGCCTCGTCACACAGTAATTAAATCTACAACAGAGTTTTTAAAAAAATTACTTTGATTATACTTTTCCTAATAAAACAAATCCTTATTTCAGAATTGACACTTATAACAACTGTAGAAATGATAATGTGTGTGTGTGCTAGTCACTCAGTCGTGGCCAACTTTTTGCAACCCCATGGACTGCAGCCCACCAGGCTTCTCTGTCCATGAGATTCTCCAGACAAGGATACAGGAGTGGGTTGCCATTTCCTTCTCCAGGGGATCTTCCCAACCCAGGGATCGAACCCCGGTCTCCTGCACTACAGGCCGATTCTTCACCAACTGAGCTACAAGGTTGATACTTATTAATAATAACTGTAGAAACAATATACGGCAGGAAATTTAGGCCACGTTTCCTTTCTTGAGAGAAACATACACACCCATCCTTCAAGCTAATGACAAACTGGAGAGGGTTACTACTAATTTTCAAGATAACTGGAGTTTGAATTTTAACAGCTAAATGAACATACAGAAAAAAGCATGTGTGTGAGTCATTCCTAAACACACGCATGTGTTTAAAATACATGTGAGTTTATAGGAAAGGTGATTTGGTTTTGCCATGGAATTTTGAGTTTAAATAAAATGCTAATAGGGAACTTACCCCCCCCCCCCCGCCAAAAAAAAAGAAAAGAAAAGCAGAGCTTCTCTGATTAAAGAGGAAAACAGAGAAATGGTGCCTGTCCTTTGCCTCCTTCCCACCTTTCAAGCACTAGAGCATGACATGATGCAGAGAGCACATGGAAACACTTATGCTATAATTGTCAACTAATAAGTGTGGAATACACACAGAATTATATTTTTACTAAAACTTTCCAAAAATAAAGCACCAAAGTAAGAGTAGTGTGTTATGGCAATAATGCGATAACAAAGAAATTTTAGGCTGAGTTATGAAACAGTCAATACGTAGTTTTCAAATGACACGTTTTACTTTCTATTTATCACCTCCTTACAATCTTACTTACAGAAGTCAAACTGAAGTCTTCATGGATACTTCCAAACAGATCAGGAGAAGAAACATCAACAGAGAGACTGAATAGAGAAGTAAGTAAGAGAACAGTTATAGTTAAAGCACTAAAATTAAAAACATTAATATAATGTTATATGTCAATTATACCTCAGTAAAAAATTCCATAAAACCTATGTAAATTTGACTTTAAAATCTTTGGGTTAAAAATCATATAATTTTCTGCTTTTTAATATTTAACACCTAATAGCTCCAAGTAGAAACTGTGAACTATCTGTTACTTGGGCCATATAAAATGTGTTTCTGGGATCTTCCCAATAATTTAATTTCTAGGTATAGAGTCTCAGAATTGAAATGTTTTTGCCCATCACAATCTAGAGGGAACTTGTTCAAGCCCATGTTCACAGTAAATGACTAACAGGAGAGCTGAGTTAGGAAATTAGTTACTAACCCACAAGTGACCAGATACACAGAACTGCAGGGGAAGAGACACCAAAAAGCCACCAGTAAATTTACAGACACGGCAGGCGACAAGTGACACCTCAGCAGGACCTCTTTCTTTAAATTTAGTCAGCTGATTTCAGAGTTCATATGGAAGATGAAAAAGATTTCAAATAATATTTTAAAATAGAAAAAGCAATAAAAGGGTAGCAATCTGAAAAAACATTAAAATGATAATTAAAACAATAAAAACTGATAGGAAAACATCTGTGAATGAATAGAGCAGAAAAAGTTTACAAATACCTTCACTGCTAGAATTCAATGATGTGTGGAACAGAAATGGTAACAAAACAAGACTTACTTCATCAAAAATATCAGGAAACTGCTAACAATATAAATTCCTGGTAAATGTGCTAAACATATAAAATCAAAGACAAACCAGAACTGAATACTTATTAGGCCTCAGAGGAATAAATGTCTTATACAGCGAGAGGCAAAAACCAGACAAATATGGGAAAATCTCCAGCTGTCAGTTATGTTACACCTTTAATTAAGAGGCATTTATTTCAGTATTACTTGTGTGCAAGCAGAAACCTCAGGTACAGTAAGTCCCATGTGCCAAATATTCAGAAAGACGAGGTTTCAACAACCCCAGAGAGCAGTACGATGACAGAACTCTCTCTCGGACCTGGAAACGTCAGGAGTCAGGTGTGCCCTGACCTCAGGTAACTAAGCCGGCCGGGACATCACCCCACCCACGCTGCGGGCCTCTAACAGCAGCTGCGACAACGCCCAACACAGAGCGGCATGGCTGCCAACGAGGAGGAGTCGTGCACTTTCACTCTCTTATTACAGACCCTGCTCCTCTGGGTAGTCAGGAAGCTAATCGTGTATTCAGTTTGCTCAAAGTGCCTCTAGTAAAGCTGAGACAAGTTCAGAAGATGAAGAAATTGTGGAAAGAATACAGGCCAAATACAGAAACATGTAATTCACATGAACACTCGCTCTCTTATTCTAAGTCTCAGGACACAAGACCAAACACAGAGTAGGAGGCTCTATTTTCAGTCTGCGCAGACGCTCCAGCAAGGCTGCTCTCAGCTCAACTTACTGTGCAGTGTCTACATCGGCATCCGGTTTGGTGCTCAACTGTTCCAGACAGTATATAAAAACCTAAGTCAAAAATGGGACATTTCAGTGATTAGGAACCCTCAAATGCTCATCTGTTTGGACAGCAAAGATAATTTTCCATAAATAACCAGAAATACAGTGTGTACCCTGCAAGTGGTATATATGTATATATACCTTGTTAGGGATAAACTGTGCATCCCATATACAGAGCACATCTACACATGCACATATAAGAACATAAGCACTGGGGAGTACATGTCTCCGTGTATAATGCTAAGTGATTAAAAAAAAACTTATAGCACCTATGTTTTGATCCCACTATTAAGTTCTTGAATATATTTTATATATATATTTTATTGCCTTCCTCTCACTCACTCATGTGTTCAACTGTGTATATGTGCCCATAAGGCATTGGTCCCAAAGAACTTGGGGCTCTAGATAAAATGTGAATCAGTCATGTCATTTAACCTGTGCTCCAGCAGATAAATACACACACACGTACAAAGTACCACGAGAACACAGAAAGGGCAGCATAATAAAAATGAATTACTGGGGGAGGTACTGCTAAGCCAGCTACAACTATTCTTACCTTGAACTTACCTACCATAAACTATTATGCACTCACACAAAATGAAAAAGGGCACATATGATTGTTGGCATCTGCTCTACACCGATTAAACGGCAGGGAGACCGGCGGTCAGCACTGTCTCAGGTCTCCACTGCTTCTACAAAGTACCTGCATGATATTGATGCTCAGTTGGCAAACCTCCTCCTGGGTTTTAGGGTGCTGGAAGACCTGTAAGGAGGAATGAGAATTTTTGTACTTAGCTAAGAAAACTTTTTGTTCATGGAGCTTCATGTGAACAGGGAACATGTGAACAAGGGCATCCAGGGTGGGTAACCCGATGCTGAGAGGGATGTAGACAGAGAGCCGGCCTCAGGCCTGAGTGACGGGGCGGCAGTTCTGGTGCCGCAGTGACCCAAACCCGTGTGCTGGGCCCCCCGCCCGGGGCTGCTCCCCGACACTCACGCTGGGCTCTCCAGGCTTGGACTCCAGGACACCATGCAGTGACTGCAGGGAAAGCAGCACACAGCGCTCGAACTGGCAGGGCTGCGGAGACAGAGCAAACAGGCCTGGGCATGCGGCCCCGACACCTGACTGCCCAGGCGAGTGGAAAGGATGGGGCCACATGTGGCGCCCCTGCCCCCGGGGCCAGCAGTCTGCACTGGGTATCGACAGACAGTCACTCCCAGCAGTGGAGAGGATGTCTAACTCAACTAGAACACAAGTCAGGTAAAACGAGAACTCTTCAACATTCTACTCTTCTGGAAGAGGGCAGGGGCCAGGATGAAGAACAGCTGTGACACATTCTGGGAGAAGCGTGAGCTCCAGGCCTCACTCGTCTCTGGACCCATCGACACAGGTGTGTTGGCAACCATGACAGGATGAGGGCTGGCACCTGTCATTTAGAACTGTCTCTACAGTCACCTTCTGTGTCCATCAAGTCAGAAAATGAAACTTGAAAATATCTCCAACAAATGGCCTATGAGTCTAAATAAGCCCAGCTGCTCCTACGGGTTCCCTCTGTGCGCATCCACTTCAGAGGACAGCAGCACACATTCTTGTTATTTGTGCATTCTGGAGTGGAATCAAACTGTCACTTTTTACAAAAAAAAGGCACAGAAATAAAATAGTGGATTGCAAAGCTGAGTAAATGCAATGGAGAGAAGGACTGGGCCCTCAGAGGAAAACAAACGGAGGGGCCTGCCTCAGCGGGAGAGGCCCCTGGGACAGCGAGACCTTAAGGACACGGGCGGCCGCCACGGTCAGAGCCAGAGGGGCCAGGGAGGAGGCGGCAGGGCCTGCGGGGACAGCCCCGTGCAGAACCTGCAGGCGGGACTCTCCTCCACACACGCTTCCATTATTAACAACCTGGGGGGACTGAACAGAAAAAGGAGATGTCGAATACAAACCAAAGAAACACAAGCTTATACTTTCTCACAAGAAGGAATCCAGGCATAAGAAAAGCTAGTAGTAGTAGTAGTGAAAGTCGCTCAGTCATGTCCAACTCTTGCGACCCCATGGATTGTAGCCCGCAAGGTTCCTCTGTCCATGGGATTCTCCAGGCAAGAATACTGGAGGGGGTTGCCATTTCCTTCTCCAGGGGATCTTCCCGATCCAGGAATCGAACCCATGTTTCCTGCATTGCAGGCAGATTCTTTACTGACTGAGCTACCTCAACTGGATGTCATTTTAATACTGCACTCTGGAGCCGCCAGAGGGCACCAGAGAGAACACGCCAAAGTCCAAGTGAAAAAAGAAGGTTGGGGGTGGATACAGAATGAAAGGCCACCTACACAAAGTACTTAAAAGAGTGAAAAGCCTCTTAGATCAGAGTTGATGAACCCACCTACCTGCCCCAGAAGGCAGGAAAATCTAAGACGTTACCATAGTAACACTGGGAGTTCAACCCCAAATTTCAATGGCAGGCAGTTCAATGCTGCTTTCCTGTGTGGTCACTTTGCTCTCCTGCACTAGGGTCAGGGTTAGGGTCAGAAAGTGAGCAGAGAGCCCCGGGGCCCGAAGGCACGGGAACAAGTGCATCCACACGGCTGCTACTTCTTTTTTTCTGAAAAGAAAGAAAAGGCACCATCTCTGCATTTTGTCAGTGAATCACCCAAGTTAGCGCATTGTAAGTTGTCACATTATCATTCCAGTTACTCTGAAAGAAGAAAATTCTCAGAATTATCCAAATTGAAAGCAGGCAGAAAACATTTTCGGCACTTGTAGAAAACAGGATGCTCTCCAGCGAGTGTTTTGGGCACAGGCATGGGGCAAAGCTTGCGAGCACTTCCTTCACTCGATAAGGACTCACAGGGAAAGCAAAACAGCCTCATGTCAAACAAAGGGAATCAGTACTACAAAATGCTAAGATAACAAAGTCCTATGTGTAACAGCCTTTCAAACAACTGACTCTCTGTTCAAACCTGTGAACTCCAGATGTACTACAGGTCAACACTCATGACTGGGCCTTGACTTGGGCATGTGGCTCCAAGCCGGGATTCTTCTCCATCCCGGGAAGTCTGTGCCCTGGGCTGACAGACACTCGGCTTCCGCAGGCTGATGGGGTGAGCACGCTTCTTCAGCAACGGTCATGAGACATACTGGCTGGCGCCACATCACCGTAAGAGGTTTAGATCTCTGGCTTGTGTGTCACGAGACATGAAATTAGCTATTCTATGGTTACAGTCTCTGACCACGTTACGGTTTAGCTTGACTAGAAACAAGTCTCTACAGTAACCATCTCAGAGGACCTTCCAGGGCATTCATCTTCTACAAACCTCAGACGTGGCCATCTCTCACACACTGTGGACCCAGATGTGCAGCCACCACACACATTACACGTGTGCACGAGGGACACTGACCTGCAGAGGGACCTGAAACCGATAGTATTTTATGACTAACTTGTTCGATTTCTATTAGGCTTTTTTTTTTAATGAACATAAATCCCTGAAGGCAGATGCTGTGTTTTCTCAAGATGAACATACGTCTTTTTCTTCGTACAACATGGTCTGAAGCTGGAACCAAGACCCAGGGTCAGGCCTGCACCATCTGCTCCGCCCTGGCTTGTGTCATTCAGGGCAGGTATTCAGTGGGGCTGGTCCAGTGACGTGTCTGTGGTCTGCCAGGCTAGCTGTGATAATTAGGGAGGGCAGGAGTATAGGAAGAACTTTGATAATGGTAAAGCTTCTTGTAAATGTAGGGTACTTTGATTATAGTGGTCTTAGTGCTACAAATACAGGCTAATAAATTAAAATCCTCTGTATATGTATAAAGCTTTGTGGGTTACAGCTTATTTCTATAGCATCTTGTTTAGTTCTAACCAACAATACAGTGAACAAACATTCTGCTGCTTCTTTAGCTAGAGGCAGAGACGTTAAGTAGCTTCGGAAGATGCACAGCACTGAAACAGCCAAGGCGAGCCAGGTCAGACGCTGAAGCCGGCCAGCGCCTCCTCCTCACTGCGCCCGACACAAGCACAGTGCCAGCCAGACACACGCTGTGGGTGAAATATTTTACTTTCCAGGAACCACAATGTGGAAAGTGAAAGAAAAACAAATTTTAATTTATAACATGCAATATATCAAAGTATTATTTCAACATGTAGGCAACATAAAAAGTTGAGACATTTTTCTTTCAAGTTGTGGAGTCTGAAGCTATGTGCCAAGTGGCTGCAGTTTGAACGGTACAGGTCGGTTCCATACCTCCTCCTCCTAATAGAATCTCTTAGTTATAAGAGAGTTTGTATTTAAACGCAAATAATAGTGAAAAATAAACCAAATAAATTAAAACAAAATTTTAAAAAATCCTTTAAAATATAATTGTAACAGAGTTATTAAAAATAAATTTCGTAATTTCAGCATGATTTAATTTACAAAAATTCAGAAGTGAGCATTGGTATTCCACACACACACTTGCATATCTTTGTATTAACTTAAAAGAGAAATCTTGAAAAGAAGGAAAGAATTTCAACTTGTCAAAAATTCCCCAACTGTCAGAGAAAGACTGTGGACAAGCACACAAAAGAATTCAAGGACATGAAGAAACATTATAGGGGATGGCTGTTCCTCAACAATCTGAGCCCCACTACCCTCTAAGCGTGGACAAGGCAGACCATTTTATTCTAGTGTCCCTGTCTACTAAGGGAAGACAAGTTATTGGATAAGCAATGTGCTTGGCCGAAAAACTACATTTTTTCCCCAGCATCTGTTACAGATAGTGGTGGGCATGTGGATAAATTCTGGCCGATTAGATGTAAATAGCTGTCAGTTGTGGCTCCTGGGAAAATGCTGGACTTCCCTGTGGACAGGAATAAGGCCTGATGTTACGGCTGGAATTGCAGTTGCCATCCTGTGACCATGAGGCATCTTGAGAAATAAGCCACACCAAGGATTACAAAGCAGAGGTCGGAGGAGCCCTGGACCCTGCCTGCACTGCATACTGCAGCTGCCACACCAGTCCCACAGCTTCAGCGCCAGAGAAGGACATGCCCCCTTGTTCAGGCCACTGCATGTTTAACCTTGCCTAAAACCCACCTATAGGGCTGCTGTGGGATCCTTGAGACAGCTGTGAAAACACACAACTCACGAACCTTGACCTTATTTTCAAGGGGACTCTGAAAAACCTCAAAGTCCCATCTGAAAAGATGACAGCACTAGAGTGAAAGACTACAGTTTTAACTGCCCACCTGACCTCTGTATGTATCTGGAGAAATTCTTATTGTCCTCTGTTTTGCCTTAGGGTCTAGCAACAACATTTTGTTTTTTTCTGTCCTGCTGTTCTGAAAAATTCAAGTTGCTGGGAAGCTTAGAATTACATTAAAAAATGTTAACACAAACAAAAAGCAGGAGTTACAGGATGAAGAAAAATCACTCTAAAGGTGATCCAATGCTTTTACTAATTTTTAAGCATATGTGGTTAGTATTAACCAAAAATGACTATGAGAAGGAAAACTTTAAGAAGTTTGTTTTTCCATTTCCAGAAAATTTTTAGGGTTGCAATAGTGCACTCGCTCATTATTATCATAATAAATCAACTATTCTGAATGTAACAGACACTAACGACTAATCATCTAGAGGAATTTAAACTTACTAGAGACGTCAGGCCTTCGCTGTCGACAACCCAGTCCTCCTTCTCTGCCAGTCTCTTTATGTCTGCAGGGAACACAAGTGCACAAGCGTGTCTTACTGCAGTTGCCTCACTGAGCTCCAGAGACATAAAATCCATAAAGGCTATGGTCTTTAACTACTTTATGTAAGTTTGCAAAAAATCAGTGAAAACAGGGATAGGCTTCCTTGGTGACTCAGTAAAGAATTCACCTCCCAATGCAGGAGTCCTGGGTTCAATCCCTGAGTTGGGAAGGATCCCCTGGAGATGGAAATGGCTACCCACTCTAGTGTTTGTGCCTGGGAAATTCCATGGACAGAGGAGCCTGGTGGGCTACAGCCCATGGGGTCACGAAGAATCGAACACGACTGAATGACTAAGACACCTAATTCTGGAAGACTCAAGGATTTAAATGTGTGTTACTCACTGGACTTTTCTAATAATGTAAATAAAACTGTCTACTATGCAGCCCAATCTGAAGAATGCCAGGCCAGGTTCACTGACAACTTCACACTTATTCAGCACTCCTGATAATATTCAACAGGTACAATATAAGACACAAGGCATTTCCCCCAAGATTTCTAATAACCAGTGTGGACTCTCTCTGTCCTGCACGTTCCCTACAACAACAGCACGATGCCCATGGCAGGAGAAACAGATCTGGGCACACTTAAGGGCCCAGCCCTCACCTGGGCCAGAGGCCAATTTTACGCAGACACAGCCGGCCTATGATAAAGTCCTGAGGAAAGACACCAATGGTCTGCACCATTCATAACAATGTTCTTGTTTGTTTTTGAAATATGTAATACCCGAAAGGCTGCTTTGTAAAGATAACCTTTATTGTTTATGACTATATGCAAAAATCCTGAAAACTCTAAAAGTATTAAGAAAATGAGCATCACCTGTGACTTCTGCACAAAGAGAAACTTAAGTCTTTCGACTTAATGCTGTTTCTTAATAAAAAATTTTAAATATACATGTATATTTTCCAAATTAAGATCATACTTCATATACATTTTATAGTCTACTTTTTATACTTGACATTTTCCATAAGGATGTTCTTATATCCTTAAGTATTTTTCAAGAGTATCCATTTAAGTTCTGCATGGCCTGGCATCTCAAAGTAAACAGGATTTGAAAAGTATTCAAAAAAGAAAAAAAAGAAAAAAAACTACATTGAACAGTGACAGATGATCTGAAATATTCAAATTTCTATAAGAGTATCTTTCCTGTTTTTGAGGATTTGGAAACTGGAAAGAGGTGGCGTGTGTGGGTAACTGTTGTTGAGCCAACGCCATCAGTTTTCTCAACACACCTTCGGCTGTGTGCTGCAGCGTGACCACCACACAGCGCACTCGGAGATCCAAGATGAGGTCCTGGATGGTCTGCAGCAGGTCATTAGGGATCTCAAGGGCAGCCAGCGATTCATACGTCAGCCTGTGGAACAAACACAGCGAGACAACGGTGAGCACAGGGGCCCTGGAGTGGTTCTTAACGTCGTTTTGGCGCCCCGCCACGCTTCACGGTGGTACTTAACAAGCTACTGCTTTGTGCTGAGAGCAAGGGTTATGCAACCCATGACAAGGATTGACATCACAGTGACGCTGATTACACAGCGACGAAGGCGACACTCTCATCAGACCCGAGCACCAGGAAGGCTCAGGAGCTGAGTCCTTAGACGACACACAGGGAACAGTGGGCACAAAAGGACAGAGCAAAACTCTTTGCTGAGTGTGTCTTTTTTTCCCCTAAAAAGACAAAAATATTTGCCCCTTCTCCAGAGAATGCTCCCACACTTACCTGAGAGTCTGGATGACGTGTGCCAGCCACTGTCCGGAGAGCTCGGCCTTCGCCTCCCAGCCTCCGTGCTGCCGCCCTCCGCCCTCCGCCGCGCCGAGTGGGAGCAGGGCCCCGCGGACCAGCTTCACGAGACACTGCATGACTTCCTGGATCATTTTCTACATGTTAACGAACAAGCAGAACTGCATTAAAAGACATCAAACTTGACTGAATCAAGTGGGGGAGTCAGCCTGCACAAGACAAATGTCTTGAATGTAGATCAGGCCTTCCAGTCACTTTAAGAAAACCCTACCCCAAGAAAGAGTCTACACACTTATCCTTAACTTACCTTAAAATCATTTTGTCTGTGCCTTACATTCTTTGATCTCTCAATGTGGCCTGACTTCTCAGCGGTCTGAAAAATGAAAATAAAAAAACCCCAAAACCCTATTAGTTGTCTCTAGAAATAATTCATAAAAATAAGAAATGCTTAGCTGCTGTATGTAAAGAGAGCGTGAAATATGGTTATAACTTGATTAAAAGGAATGCATAAGAAGTAGTCTAAGTCTCTGATTAAGGGATGGCTGATTAGAAAACCCTCCTATTCCAACAAGAAGCTACTCGTCTTCCTAAAAGCTTCAAGTACAATTCCCATGAATGAACCTAAGTATTAAGCTGAAGCTATCCTTTCTGTAGGTGAATTTCACATGCCGTTCTCATCTACAACCTTTTATGATTAAACCTACAGGCATGCAGCCCACCATACCGCTCAGCATCGCTGCCCGGGAGTGGGTGTAGAAATGAGAGCAGGAACAGCTCTGGGTGGGTCCGGCCATCTGCGGTCCCCCGGTCCACTGCCCCCTTCCCTCAGTGTGTGTGCTCAGTCGTGTCTGACTCTTTGTGACCCCATGGACTGTAGCCCACCAGGCTCCTCTGTCCATGGGATCCTCCAGGCAAGAACACCAGAGTGGGTTGCCATGCCCTCTTCCAGGGGATCTTCCTGACCCAGGGATTGAACTTGCATCTCCGGTTATCTCCTGCACTGGCAGGCGGGTTCTTTACTAATGCACCACTTGGGAAACCTGTCCCCACACTCCACCCACAGAGACTATAAGCATGAATGGTGGCGTTTTATTTTTTAAAAATTACACATCAGCAATCTTCTTCCAGGGATTTTTGTCCAGTTTGGAGGGAATGTATTCTAGAACTGACTGTAGAACCAAGTTTTCCTCTGATTTCTCTTTCTCCTTAGAGCAATGTGTAGAAAACTACTTTATAGTGATTAAGAGAGAAATCTGTTTAACTGGATTTCAGTTAACTTTTTATTATCAAATTTTCTTACAACCAAATATTATTCTATAGAACGTCCTATCAAGACAAACTTGGGACACTTAGAAGACTACTTTATAGTGATTAAGAGAGAAATCTGTTTAACTGGATTTCAGTTAACTTTTTATTATCAAATTTTCTTACAAGCAAATATTATTCTATAGAATGTCCTATCAAGACAAACTTGGGACACTTTCCAAAGGAACATCATGAAATGGCATAATATAAAAAAACTCACCACCATAACCTTAAAAGGAAAAACACTGGTATATTTAGGTGGAGAACTTTAAGTTAGGAATAACTGCATTATAAATGCTACGATACTGACACCAAGGTAATTTTAAAATACTTCAGGTAATGTCATTTTTTAGGTATAAGCCAGAGAAACTGCGGAGAGTCCTCTACATGATCAACACTATCGACCCGAAGGAGGAAGACAAGAATAAGGATGCTGGTGTTTTCACCAAGAGTCAGACACCCTGACAGACAAAGCCAGCACACGCAGACACACACCCTTCTCTGGCAGTAACTCACACTTCTTGTGCAACTTTTAATGTTTTTTTCTTTGTAGTGATGCTTTTTTTGAAAGAATGAAAAATCACGATAATAATTCAACGAGCGAATTCCTAAGTCTTTTGGCCAACAACACTCAGAATTCTCTGTACAGCAGGATTCACAGAAATTGATGCTCTTCTCCCTCTATTTTTAAGACTCTTGGGAAGTGACTGCAGTGGCGCAGAGCTGCGGTGGGATGTGGCCAGAGGAGCTCATGCTGGAACCTGGCCGGCTGGAAGGCTAAGAGGCGCAGGGTGAGGTGGCCGCTCCCCAGGGCCCCTCCTGAGGCCTCAACGTGCAGACACAACTGGTGGGATCACTGGGGGCTGGGCTCAGCCTCCGGCCCTTCTCTCTGGGGCGGCGCTGGAAGTCCTACTCTCTGAACCCACGGCTGGTCCTCTGGACGGGCCTGGCCTCAGCGGGGGTGAGACACTCACTAACACGCCTGCACACTTAGCAAGTCACACATCAGAAGTGAAGATCAAATATATACTTCTCAGACAGTAAGTCACAAGATCACAGTTCCAAATTCACATCTCCAGCCCCAATCTTTCCTCACAGAAAGATCTCTTTTCCAAATCTGAATTTCAGATTGCCTTCTTGGTGTCCCCAGAAGGCCTGAGCAGAACAGAATGAAAGGGTGGCTTTCTGGGTCTGGAGTCTGCTGGCCTGCAGCTGGGAACCACAAGGGTCTCCAGCATGCTGACTGTGGATCTTGGGGCTATTAACTCCACAGTCCTAGGAGACAGTTCCTTGGAATAAATCCATTCCCTCTATATATATATACTGCTGAAAACAGAGCCAACATCCTGATAGTTGTTTTTCTGAGCCCTGCCCATAAGACCTGGCTTACTGTACTGTGGAGGAAGGGGAGGGACTCTGAAAGAAGGCATAATTTGTCTCCGTGAAGGGTTGTGCCCATAAAAAACTAAGTATCCTGACTGTCAGATGACATTTTTCTTGTTGTATCTGCCAGCACTAAATGCTTGTCCAATGGGAAGATTACTACAGAGTCCTCTGTCCTGTGAAATAGCTTTGAATCAAAGGAAAGAATAAAAATCAACTGTTAAAAACATCATACTAAAATTAAGGTTAAACTCTTCCACAACATTTTCCCCACCAAACAGGTGCTACTGCATGCATGAAGACGCCGACTGGACAGAATAACTGTTCAGGCTCCGAGGGCCTGTCTCTAAGCATGTAAAGAGGTGAGCAGGTGGAGTGAGTGGGCAGGGGAACCAGTTGTAAGGTCTTCCTCTTCCAATTGTTAAAAAAAATTGTTACTTATTATTTTTATTTGATGAAGAGTTGAATATCTCCAACATGCTGAATTATGTGCAGTGTGCCCTTTTAAAGTTTTAAAAAGAAAACTTAATTTTGAAACAGGAGAACATTTTAATTTACATTCTATGAGTTATACAACTTTTTAAAATGCTGATTCCTGATATTTAAAAATTTGGATACTTTAAAAGTTCTCACCTGAAAATACACCATATTTAAAATATATCTAAAGGTGAGATCTTACCCTACTATTAACCATTTCACTAGCTAAAACCCTTAACTCTTTCCTGCACACACAGACCAAAACTACTTTGTGGTAAGACCAACGGTTAGATTGCACTGTTTTGATTCACATATGTTACTTCACATGGGCATGACTAGTCTGAAGAACTATCTGTTAAACTGCTGGAAACTCCATCTAAATCTTTTAACGGATGAACTCTAATAAAACAAAACAGTTTTACAACAAGAAAAGATAAGAAATTTCAAGTAAGTTGTAACTAAATATTTCAGAGCTTTCTTGTATGAGATTCAATACCAAAACTCTTGGACTTCTTCCCAACATTAATTTAATGAAGTTTCCAGTTTTCACTCACAACAGTACCCTCTCCTAACTCCATTCCCGCCACTGTCCTCTGAGGTCTTACTCGTTTTCCAGGAGAGGATAACTTAATTTAAAAACACACCCAAATATGTAAATTACATTTAATTAATAATATTACTACAAACTTTTAAGAGAAGTTTATGACTATAAATAGGTAGAAACTCCACAGGCAAATCCAACTCATACAACTAATTACAGTGATTTTTTTTCAGGGCTAATATTATTCCTGAGCTCATTTATTTTTCGTCTGCAATTAAATACTTCTTCTAGACATTTACCACAACTAGGTATAACCTGTAAGGCAGGAAAATATAGTCCCTTTTCACTACATTATTCCAGATCAAAAACTCTAAAAAAGACTCAAGATGAGATGACTACTGTCCATGTTGGGGGAGACCACCTTCAGAAACTGATACAACTGGAAGGAAAAACACTCTGCTGGAAAAAAGAAAAAAAAACAACAAGTTTCAGGCAGTTTCCAGGGCTCCGCTCCCTTAGGGTGTGAGCACCGGCCTCAACGTTGCCCCGTGTGTCTGGTCAACACCATTCCCTCACTGCTTACAGCTATGAGACACCTACTGTGTGCCAGGCCAACGACACTTCAAATACTGGAAAGAATACTGTCTCCAAATAGTAAGAGCAACATCTTATTTATCCGCCAGATACTGTCGTAAGCATTTCACGTACCGTTAACCTGCCACATCGCAGCTAGTCAGCTACACACACTGGGTGTTCAATTTGCTGACAACTCTGCAAAAGAAGCTACGAACACACCTGTCCAGGCACTGGTGTGGAGGCACCTCCCCTTTCCAGTCTCAAGAGGGGCCTGCTTTGGGGGGGGCAGGTAAGAGGGTGAGGGTACGACATGGCAGGGGGGCGCTGCCTCCCACAGAGGCTGCTGCCCTCACGGCCGTGATGAACAAAGATGCGGGCTGGTGGGGCCCGTGTGCAGGCGAGTGCTGACAAAACCCACTTCAGGACACTTGAAAGCACGCTCCTCCTCAGGCAGCAACAAGCAGGTGCGAGTGCCAAACTGTGTACATGCTGCACGGGAGGCTGACCTCTGCACAGTTAACTTTCAACAGAGCTTTCTCATAACCACTGATAAGAGGCCTCAGAGTCTACATCCTGGGACCTGGGTGCCTGTCACGGGTGAACAGGACGGGAGACAGCAGAGCTGCCTCCTTACGTCCCTAACTTCTGTGCTACCAAGTGTCTACGATTAGGACACTGAGCGCATGTGCAGCTTGTGAAAATGTAAAGGCTTAAACAGCTTCTCAGGTGGATCACACAGGGGCCAGGAACCAGGGTCTTTAAGTTCTGTCCAACCAGGAAATTCCCCCTCACTTCAGACCCGGGTGCAAGATGCAAACACTTTTTCCTTGTTTTATCATTGTTCCCTGTCAATTGCATAACAGTCTCACCCACAACACGGCCTGACTGGCACTGTCCTCACTCCAGAGTCTCGTTCTCTGAGTGGCCGTCTCCCCAAACCCTCACCCACCTTTCGGGAGACACTCACTGCTCTCTCTCTACAGTCGAGGGCACTGAGGCCAGAACAGGGAGGTCGCTTGATCAAGGCCACACAGCTATTAGTGTTAGGGCTGTGTAGAACTTTCAACTCATCTTAAAATATCTGACAATATAGAGGCTCTGGGCTTCTGAGGTTTTAAAAAAGTCACTTCAAAATCTAAAATGATTAAGACTAGAGACTCACAATGACTGAGCTACATCTATAGTCAAATTTGTACACATACCTCACTGAAAAGGCTTCCATTAACATATGAAATCCAAAGTTTCCAGAAGTTGGGCAGCTGACTTAAAACAAGCTTGGTCAGTTTTTCAACAAATGCCACCCGATGGGGAGTTTTGCATCTCCACGCTAAAGGGGAAAAGAAGGTAGCAGCATTAATATACTTTTGAATCAAGAGTGAAAATCTCTTTAAACACAGTGCTGTGCCCACAACTACATAGCTGGGCAGTGGTGCAGCCAGGAAGGAGCCCAGGGAACCTCACAGCCCGGCACTGGGGAAGAAAAGGGTGCGGGAGCCCCACAGGCAGTGGGGAGCAGTCCTCCTGCCCGGCCCACTCCGTTCAGCAGGGGCTCCAGAAGGCAGGCTACTGCTCCAGCAAATTAACCACAGGCCTTGCAAGAAACACACTTATTTGCAAGTAACTGATAAAGTCTCACACTCTTTAATGGGAGACAGCAAAACCCAGACACTTAACACTGAACATTCTCCGTGTCTGAGAAACAATAAAACATGATTAGCCAGGATGAAAGGCAGGGAAAAGAGAATGAGAACAAGAAAACTGGGAGAAAACTAGTTAAAAGTAGTTAAGAGTAAATGACAGAGATGGAATTAACCCACAAGGACAATGTTTAAGTAAAGAAAAACACAAAAATGAAGAAGAATGAAAGGGAAGAAATTCAAAAGAACCAAACTGACTTCTAGAGATGAAAAAACAATGTGAAATGTTTAGGTTAGTCACTGAAGATAAAACATCAGAGAAGCTGAAGGCAGAGTAATCAACTCTATAATGAAGCAGAGTGGAAAGACGGGTGAGGGTCAGACCTCCACAGTCTATGGATAACCCACTGGCTCAACACACATGCCACTGGGGTCCAGAAAAGGAAGCAGAACGGAAAGATATCTGATAAAGTGATTGCCCAGAATCTCCCAAATTTGATGAAAACTTCCAGAATTTGATAAAGTAGATGCAAGAAGCTTGACAAAACCCAGGCAAGATAAATTTGAACGACTTGAGATGGATCATGGCAAACTAAGATCATGGCATCCGGTCCCATCACTTCATGGCAAATAGATGGGGAAACAATGGAAACAGTGAGAGACTTTATTTTGCGGGCTCCAAAATCACTGCAGATGGTGACTGCAGCCATGAAATTAAAAGGAAGCTTGCTCCTTGGAAGAAAAGCTATGACCAACCTAGAAAGAGTGTTAAAAAGCAGAGACATTATTTCACTGACAAAGGTCCATCTAGTCAAGGCTACGGTTTTTCCAGTAGTCTTGTATGGATGTAAGAGTTGGACTATAACTAAAGCTGACCACCAAAGAATTAATGCTTTTAAACTGTGATGTTGAAGAAGACTCTTGAGAGTCCCTTGGACAGCAAAGAGATCCAAACAGTCCATCCTAAAGGAAATCAGTCCTGAATATTCATTGGAAGGACCGATGCTAAAGCTGAAACTCCAATACTTTGGCCACCTGATGTGAAGAACTGACTCACTGGAAAAGACCCTGAGGCTTAGAAAGATTGAAGGTGGGAGGAAAGGGGGACGAGAGAGAATGAGATGGCTGGATGGCATCACCGACTTGATGGACATGAGTTTGAGCAAGCTCCAGTAGTTGGTGATGGACAGGGAGGCCTGGTGGGCTGCAGTCCATGGGGTCGCAAAGAGTCGGACACGACTGAGTGACTGAACTGAACTGAACTGACTAGAGATGGAGATGATATAATTCAGTCAGCCTCAAGTGTCACTTCTGAGTTAAGCCTGTTAGAGGGTCAGCTGGCGGCAGGGCAGCACAGAGCAGCAGGGAGAGGTGCACACAGGGCTCACAGACACCGTCACCCTGTCAGGGAAAGAGGTGTGCTGTGACACTCGGCAGTCTGTCTGTGGGTCAGACCCCGGGAGCCTCTGCACGGCACACACTGGACAGCAGCCGGCAGCGGCTCTCCTCCCGGTGTTTACTCCAGTGTCTTAGAGGGGGACACTGACAGTTACAGAGAGAACCTTCCACTTAGCACAAAAGAATCATCTGATTTTAAGTCGTGCTTACGATGGACATTCATTCATATTATTATCTCTACTCCAATACTTGAAAGAATAATGTGAAATACTTTGAAATAATCTTCAGAGATATTTGAAATTAATAAGAAGTATTTCTATTACCTTATTTGCATTCCTTACATTGATTATTGAGGTTATAAGTAATCAGTGACTAATAGCATCTGTTACATGAATGCACTATAACCAATGTGTTTTGTATTTCACATATGTAAACAAACAACAGACAAATGTCAACCTCAGGAAAAAATGTAACACAGTTACAATTTGAGATGCCTTACCCCAGGAAAGACAATTACAAATTTATGATTAATATTAAATGAGCAACTTTTTTCAAACCAAATTTTAAAATTCAGTAAAAAGTTGTCTACTATTTTTCTGTAGGGCCTACAGAAATTAACTTTTGTTGCAACATTCATCCTGAAGAAGTTCTCAGAGAATTTTTTCTGTGACATATTTTGAAAAACTCAACCACAGAAATGTAACACTGACGTATGCCCAATGATTTATTAAAAAATCAAATGGCATTTCTTTAATGTGCAATGTAAAATACATTGTGATTACCTAAGTTTAATTTCTGAGCTGTTACTTAACAAGTAGAAAGCATGATGGCTGATAACAGCAGCAGGAAGACAAGTAATTATGGAATTTTCCAGGAGAAAAATGGCAGCTACACAAACACAAATCTGAAAGAAAAAGTGGAGGGAGACACGCACCGTCATCTCGACCAGGCTGGAAGCTGCTGCCCCTCTTCAGCGACGCCGTCTGCCCAAGATGACTGGGCGCGGGGGCACGCACCTCAGCGTCGAGGTCCACCGGGGCACCGTGAAGGCCCGGGGGCCCTGCAAAGAGACGCAGTGTTTCCTTGGATTCCCGGAAAGTACTAGGTGATTTAATGGACCGAAATTTAGACCTCGCTCTAAATTTCCATCTTTTAAATAAGATAGCAACTAAAGTAGAACTAGAAACATTTTGTCTAAATAGCTTTTAAAAGTCACTCCTACCATACAGATTTGGAGGATTAAATCTGTTACTCTGGCTTAGTACAGACACAGAACTTGTATTATCATTTCAGAATGAATGTCTGGCAAAACAGAGGGGGAGGGGTCATAAACATACAAACCAGGATGAAAAATCATTTTCTGAAAAGCAACTTGGCACTGGGAAAGGAAGGTACAGAGTCTAGTGGGGCAGACTTGCAGCATACACCTCTGCCTGCTCCCTTTAAGCCTCTGAATTCCACGATTTCTTTTTCTGGGTCATGGGACCTGGCTTCCCATTTCTCTTACCGCTGCCAGCCGCCTGGCCCAGGTCCTTCCCAGCCCACACTGTGAACATCCCAGAAGCTAACACGTCACTGACGGGACCGTGAGTGGACGCTGCACCGTCCCAACAGCGAATCAGATGTTCAAGCGCTAGTCTACTTACTACTAGTCTCCGTTTTAATTTGGAAGCTAATTTTGTCTTTTCAAATTAGATTAAGAAACAAATGTACAATCGTGTAAAATCCTGCTGAGCTGCATCTAGTATGAAAACAGCTTAAACAAACTTGCACTGCTTACCCACAACAGCGGCAATTTCCAACAGGATGCACTGTGAATCAGATTCACAGCACCCTGAATATCATCTCGGTATCTTCTAAAGAAAGGACAAAGCAAAAGGACAACCAGACCGCCACTGCGCTAGAAAGAAGGCTGCTGCCATTACAGCCACAAGCTGGTACTGTTCTCCAATCCCTCTCTCCTGGGTAACTTTCTTCTGTATATCCTCTATGGCTTACAAATCTCAAAGCAAGCGAATAAAATCCTAGTACAAGAGTCTGGAAGCACTGTCTCTTCTAAAGCCGCTGAAACAACGGTGAGCAGGGAGGGCACAGCTACGCGGGACTCAGGGTGCGGGGGAAACACGACCAGCACTGCCCACCTGGACTTGCCTTTTCTCTTTAAATCAACATTGATCATTCTGGGTTCATGTTGCTGTGAAAAACACTGAGGAGAGAAACTACTTTTTTAAATCTCCAAAAAATAAACTTTAGAAACTTCCTAATATATATCCTCATTATAACAACTTTAAAATAAGGAAAGATATCTAATATATGTATAACAACACATTTACTGTCTTTTTAAGCACAGACCTGTTTTTGTAGTTTTGCAGAAAACCTGAGGAATCTGCAGCAAGTCTCCTAGTGGAAGCTATACCTAACCTGCTGCCCCGGAGCCACCTGAGCCTACGTTATAGAAACACTGGAATTAAACTCAGTATCCCCACTGACTGTCTAGGTCCCAGTTGTGTTTTTTAAATATCAAGATAAAATATAGTTTAGTTATACTGTATAAATTCACAAAACTGCACATAAATTTGAAATGTAATTTATGCATGTATTTGATGAGCCTGAGTTGAAAAATACAGGCTTTATATATTTTAAGACAATTGGATAAACAAACATTTTTATTTCAGCAAGTAATTAACCTAATAATCTGCTCAACATTTGAAATATTTAAAACAGGAGATATTTAGCACAGCCTCTATGCTTAATATTGTCCCTCTATAATAGATCCATACTGTGATGGTTCAGATTAAACCTCTCAGGCGTGATGTATCAATCTACATTTTCAAACAGAACCGAAGCCACACAGAAACATATTTCCTTCTGTCGTGTGACTGTGTCGTGTGGCTGGGTACAGACCCTCCTGCTTCGATCAATTCTAGAAGTGCTGGTCTGCCTCTACCCCACCACGCTGCTGGGTATGACCTGGGAATGACACAACAGACTGATGCTCCCTGGAGTTACTAGATAGAGTCAGTTTGTATTTTTTAAGACTTAAACTCATTTTCAGAACAAAGGAAAAAATGCCTTTGAAGGCTACCTTTAACAATCCTGTTTGAGAATGTCGGTAGGGGGTTAAACCAAAGGTTTTTCCTGACAGGAAACCTGAAGATTTAGTCTCATTTTGGCCCTATTTCATAGGAATTTTAAGAGACAAACGACACTTCTTATAAGGCAGTAAAAGTTTCGGAAGAGAAGCCAAACAGTTAACTAGCCCAGGCTGGAAGAAAACAGACTTGTCCATCTTTGTCTCCCCTTAGAAAAGCCAAAAGTTCGCACGTGGGCTACAGAGGCAGGCCACGAGGAGCAGTGACGCGCTCCCGGATGACCCAGGTGACCGGCTGGCGGTGCTGAGGGCAGCGGTCACCTCCTGTCTGAGTCCTGGTGTGCACCATCAGGCACCACTTACCAGGCTGGTATGTGCTATTACCATAACAGTGGCATCCAGAGAAGGTGCTGCTGCAGTGTTCACAAGAATAGCACCCTGGGACCTACCTCTGTGGACAAAGCTTCATGTGCAAAACAATCGGTCCTGGAAAAACGTGGCTTTTATGGAGGATTCAGTTCAATTCAGTCATGTCTGACTCTTTGCGATCCAATGGACTGCAGCATGCCAGGTTTCCCTGTCTCTGAAAATCTACCACCATCTTTGCTCATGAGCTTTTCTTGAAAACCACAAGACAAATACAATTGGCATTTTTAACCCAAACCACCATGTAAAACTTTTAAAACAATTATATTAGGTTCCTTAAAGTAATGCATAAAAACCAGCTTTACCTACGAAGACATCTTCTCCTGTCTGAAATATTTACAGTCTATCTTTTAAAACTGTGTTTCACATGACAAAGACTGTCTCAGGTCTTAACTCTTCTGCCTGGGGGTGAGTGAATCAATTTCTCTTCTTTGGTATTAAAGTCCAAGTGCAGATGTTGCAACAGAAGAACTCACAATCCATTCTTTAGATTCAGAACCCAACAAGCCTTTGGTTTGAAAACAGGTTCCTGAGAGGACCTGAATGAAAGTGACAAAGCTTCACAAGAAGTGACAAGTGCTTGAAGAGACGCAGGCACTGCCATCACCACGCCATCAGCTCACTGAGTTCAGAAACCCATGTGATGGCGCACTGGCTTCAGGAACAGAACAGAGAAGTCTGTGGAACTGTGTGCCCGACTCGGAGAAGCCAAGCAGTCCTGTGGCTCCTGAGGCAGCTCCCTCACATGCAAAACGGAGACCTAAGTCATGTCTGAACCAGACAATGTCCCAGGTTTCTACCAGACCCACAAGCTTGTGATTATGAGAGGATGCCAACAGAAAGTCCAAATGATATTTAGGAACCCTGCCCCATACTGACCTAATTTCTGTTACACATAACTAGGATATCTGTAACCGGGAGTCCATCAGAACAACTAGTTGTGAACTAACAACAACAATAACAAAAGCTATAGTTATTCCCGGCAAACTTATAACTAAGGCCAACATTTTATATAAACACCCCCAGACACACACACACGCCTTCACTGCATCACTACAGCACCCGCGCAGAGCGGACAGGTGCACAGTAGAGCTGACATGTCCAGGGACACTCACACTGATGACGACAACCAGGAGGGCATCTAGGGGCCAAGTGGCCACAGTGGACACTATGTCACTAGCGGCTAATTCTTGTAAGAAATACAAGTTCTGTCTCCATCTGCGTGACACCTTTGCACTGCCATCATCTGCCTTTGCACTGACCATTGATTAAAAAGTCACAGTATCTATGTACTTCAAGAGCTACTGGACATATTAAACTGCTTTTGAAATTGACAGTTAATTGAATGCCTGATATCAAGAAAGTACTGATAACACTTCAGGTAATGATAATAGCTTTCAAGAAGTTCAAGTGATATAGATTTCACAAAGCATGTTTATCTTTGAAAATTACATATTGAAATAACTATAGGTGAAATGAAGTGACCTGCTTCAAAAATAATTCAGGGTGAGGGAGGGGTTGTAGGTAAAATGAGACTGGCTGTGAACAGATAACTGTCTAAACTGGGCAGACACAGAAGAGGTCATGGGATCACCCTTGGTGCTCCTAAGTATGTTTGGAACTCTCCAAAATAATCTGATGTGAGCTCAAAGAATATACCAGCTTTGCAATTAAAGAGCATGGACTTGTTAGGACTGTCTATATTGTTTATATCAGGTGTGTTCTTCTGAATGTCAAAGGACAGTTAAAATCATAATCTATAAACATCTGGCTAATGGATTTAGGAAACTTACACTGTATTGTCATGAAATTTGTGGAGTAAATTCAAAGAGCTAAAACCATTCTGTTGCACTTTTCAATCAGAAAGACCAACTTATGGAAATAACTTTATGTGAACCTCATCACTAACAAAAAGGTTCCAGTCAATGCGCATTCCTTCAATTATGCCACCAGCAAGGAGCAACCTCGACAATAGGCTTGGTCAGAGCAAGTAAAAAGGCAGGTTTCCAGTCACACAGAAGCGAGTGTCCTTTTCCCTAGAGATGCTGACTTCCAGCAGTGCTGGATGAGTAAGTTCAGAGATGCTGACTTTCAGCAGTGCTGGGTGAGTAAGTTTAAGTAAATAAAAAGGCAGGTCTCCAGCCACACAGTAGCAAGCGTCCTTTTCCCCGGAGACGCTGCCTCTCGGCAGTGCTGGGTGAGTGAGTTTAGCAGTACGAAGCATCTAGATGACAAGGAAGGACTCCGCCAGGTAAGGCTGCATCTCCATTTACCTCCAAGAAGGACCCAGACTTCAGTGACGGGATTTTGGGTATCAGAGCTTTCAGGTACTGATGTAATGGTAAGCATGAAATTTCCTGTGTGGTCTTTATAAATTACACACGTTTTCCAGAAATTTGAGTATTTTCATAACTAAATCGTGCAGTCGGATTGTTTCTTACAAGCCTGAGCAGGGAAGCCTTCTGACGGACCTCAGCCCTGTCTGCACTCCTGGCCATCTGACCACCCTTCTGCGGCCCTTCCCTGGAAAACCACACTCCTTGAGGCTCGGTGGCAACAGCACCTCCTCCAGGAATGTCCCGGGGCCTCTGGTTAACCAGGCTGAGGCAGAGTTCTGTACTCTCCTCTTCCGAATACCTCTCACAATTATACTTACGTGACAAATAAACACCTATGTGACTTTTTAAACCATGTCTCTCTCGCTAGAGGACAAGCTCCAAGAGACCACATGGGTCTGCTCAGCGCAGTACTTCAGTCCTGAGCACGCATCCACCACAGTGTCTGCCGGCCCTGCTGCACCAGAGTCACCCGGAAGCTGTGAAACCACTGACATGTGGACACCACCACGAGAGTCTCACACAGTGGGAGGGGAGGAGAGGCGGCTGGGGAGTGACAGTCTTTAGAAACACCAGGGGACTGTGTCGGGCAGCTCTGGGTGAGAGCCTGCCTGACCGAGCAGACTCCAAGCACAAGAAACTGAGGCCTCCAGAAACCCACATGGACCTCAGACTGTGTGTGCTGTCTGATGTTTTCACTTGTTAAAACTATAAAATAAGTAATGACACAATAGGAGTCTGGATATGGCATCAGGAAAGAGGTATTTGGGTTTTCCTAAACATTAAGAATAGAAAAAAACTGATTCAGAGCTAGAGAACACTCAGATCCAAGCCAGCTAACCCACGACAGACTGTCAACAAACGCTGCGTCCTCCCTGTGCGCCGCCTTCTGCGCCAGCACCGTTCTCTCGCCGCCTCACTCTCCTCCCAGACCCAGCGTCACCGAGAGGGGAGGGCATCCCTGGACTCGGCTCAGGGCCTGGTACGCAGAAGAGCTCAACAGGCAGCTGATGGAGTGGCGAAGGCACGTGCCTGCTGATGGACACAAGTACCATCCCTACATGCCGTGTCACTTCCGCTGGAGCTCCTGTCCCCTGCCCAAAGCTCTGCCCACATGGCCAGTCTCCCACGAGACAGGCGTGCTGAGGCTTACCCCACGCCCCTCAGTCCCCGGCTCAGGGAGGATGCTAAGGTGGGGTGGGGAGGGTGGCACGGGCACGATGAGCATGAGTCCCCCTCAGTCAAGTCCCCCAGAGCATGTCGAGTGACCGAGGACGCCAGGGAGGCCTTGCCTTTGAGGTCCCGCGCGCAGCCCTCCCGGCAGCCGTGCATGAGCTGGAGGATCCACCGGTGCTGGGCCCCAATGCACTGCCACGCAGGGTCGCCAGGCGCGTGGAGGTCGGACAGGTACCTGAAACGGCAAGGCCACGGCTGACCGAGTCGGCTTCTGCTGCACAGCCATAAAGTCAAAACGAAAGCCAGCATGTGTTAAAGTCACGGCTTTTAAGGATACCTAAAACTTTGTTAACTAGTAAAGCATTCGTCAATCCTTACTCTTTAATATTCAGTTCTAAATGAAACGTATTCAAATTTCCTTGCATGCAATTAACAATAAAAGTACATTTTAAAACGCTAGGACTTTATAAGAAGACGACCAAGATGACAAAGACAAGTGTGCAGTGGTCCTGATCACAGTGCTCTGACTTAGTTCTCCCTCACACAAGAAACACCAGCAGAGTCCTCCGCCTGATGATTTTCTTCTCTGGTCTGAAACACACGGCCACGAGATGGCAGTGTGACCCTGCTTTCTATACCCTCTAAAGAGGGCAACTGAAACTTCAGATCACCATATTACACAGAGGTTTGGTGACAGCAAACACTGACCTGTAAGTCTAAACTCTAATTCATGAGAAGACAGTCCTCCAAAAAAATGCAGTATAGATGGGCACTTTTCTTAGTTTTAAAATAGGTTGAAAAATATTTAAAGTCTTCTTTGTTTGTGAAAATTCCCAACCCAGATACACAACTGAGGTAGATTTCTGCTGAAAAATTGACAAATATTATTCAAAACTTAGCCCTCATGAAATATGTAAATATAACAAGTTAAAGCAAATTAAATCAACTCCAAAAGCTGGACTTGCTGTCTTAAAATTACTCCAAACCTTAAGCTGTCTATTGTCTTGGGGCTGAAGTTCCGTTTAAGAATAAACAGTAACTAATGGTGACAAGCGTGACCTCTTGCAGGGACACATCTGGGCCTCTCTCCCAGGTCCTCCAGCGCTGAGCACTTGCTTACCCAGTCTTCTCAACCAGCAGTTAATCAGAGGAGGAGTCAGTCGGTGACCAACAAAACCTGGCATTCGGGAACAACCCCCTCCCCGCTGCAGGATGAACGGGGGCGGTGGTTTTCCAGGAGGGGGCACGATCCTTGCGGGGCGGTCCTGTGTGGGCCCTGGGCCTCTGCTCACGGGGCCTGGAGCCTACTGAGCTGAGCCTGTGGACGGTCTGTCTGCTGGGCTTCTCCTCAGACAGGAGGAGCTGTGTGGGCCCCAAGGCTCCTGCAGCAGCACCTCCTCCTGCGTTCACACAGCACCCTCAGCCACACCAGCGGTGAACACAGCACCCCCCGCCCCACCACCTTCCTCTCGGATGCACGCACATCCCTCTGCTCAGCACTCCCTCGAACTGTAAGGCTCTTCAGCCCTTCCAAAGTTTAAGAATAATCCTCTTTCTAACGTCTTGTTAATGGGTATTACACAAAAGTTTTATAAAGAAAGATAAATTTGTTGTCTCAGAAACTCTACAGTGCTTCAATTCAAAAGTACAACTTGTGTTAAGCTTTCGCCTGGTTAAATGGCTTAATCCAGTAACTTTCTTTTCTTTTAGGATGTAGATTAAAAACATAGTTTCATTTCAAAGATCTTGGCTTAGAATATGATACGGATTATTGCTACTTCTTTTTAAACTTCGTTACCAAAGAATACTTTTTAAAAAGGCTTTTTAGTGGGAAAAAGGTAAGGAATGTTAACTATGAATGAGCACAGACTCAAAATTTTAAACTTTAAGAATTAGAGCCGTTAGGCATACTTAGACATGATTTCTAACAGTGACCAGGGAGAGAAGCACACTGATGTGGAAAGAAGCAGTGTGCGTGGCACTCTGCTGCTTGGTCAAGCTGCTAGCAGCAGCAGAGCAGGGAGAGAGGGAATCGCGAGAACGCCTCAACCTGGAGTTAGCAGTGAGCAGCCGCACGGCGACAGGCTGAGCCACACGCTCGGGCCCTGCAGAGCTTCCAACACGTGGGAGCTGAGACTGCACTTCTGCTGATAATGAAGTTGAGGGCCTCCGCCCCCACTTGGTGCCCACAGGATGGCTCATCATAGATTCCAAACTCCAACAGATATTTGGCCTGGTTGTGATATTTTTCCTAATAACTAAACCCTTAATTTAAAAAGGATGATAAATTGCTCCATGTAGTCTCAAAGTGTCAAAAATAAAGATTAAAAAGTAAATAAATTACTTGACATTTTCAGTGACATTCTTGTTCTTTTCCTTTTGAAAGGACAGGGAATAAAGCATTAAATAGGCCATTTAAAAGAACCTTTTAAAATATCACTATCTTTTAAATGGTATCTAGTAGGTTAACCAGTCACGGGAACTGTGCATGAGTTATCTACACAATGGCAATTCACTACATAAAGAAATCCTGCACTCGATAAGGTTTAACATTATTTTCCTACCAGCAAATGTAACAGAATAACTGTAATCATTAGTGAAGCAGCATGGCAGAATACAGACAAGACGCTAAACAGCTTCGTATCCTCGATGACAGATTAACCTTCTTGGAACTCTGTTACTTTACATGTTAAAAAAAAAAAAAGAAAAAGCGGTTGGATAACAACACACAGTTAATGAGCAGCATTAAATTTCTATGATTCTACAAGCCAGAAAAATTCCTAAGTGCATGCTTTCTTCTGGGGACACTTGGAGAAAAGCACAGACAGGCTGTGAAGGCAGACAGCCGGAGGCCCCGACCTGTGGAGCAAGTGTGGCCCAGGTGCCGCACAGCGACTGCGTGGCTTGTGGGGGGGCAGCCAGCACCCCAGCTCCCCACGCCTGCCCACGTTAAAACTCCTTCCCTCTTGAGCAACACAGTTCCCACCACGCTGTGGGGTCCACATTTCTGCTGCTACTGCCATCCTTTCCAAGTAAGCATTCCCACTTCCTTTCCAAGCCTGGAAGCTTTCAGAGCCCTCCGCGGCTGAGCCCCATCCCGCCAGCGGCACCGGAGCCCTGTGGGGCAGCGCCACCCCCGAAGCCAGTCAGGGAGCAGCCCCCCCACCGGGTTAGATCCTGCGGACAGGAGGAGAGGGGCAGAGGCTGCTTTCCCTTCACCCAGACTGGCAGGACTCTCTTGCCTTTAAAGGGTGACTGCTCCCCAGTCTCTGAGTGCACACAGGAGCCTGGCGCCCTGCGTGGGTCCCCAGACTTCTGCTGCTTGTCTCCCCTTCCGCCGTCTCAGCACTCCCCCACTTCCCCCGAACCTCTGTGAGAGCGACAGGATGTGTCCAGCGTCACCCAGATACATGTGATTCGTCAAGATTCTTGTTTACCTTATATAACGTTTCTGGTCATGTAAAGTCGATGGTGTCTCAAGCAACTTCTCTAGAAGTAATTCTCTTAAAGCTTCAATCCGTGTTTCTACTTCAGCATAATCTGATTAAAAAATGAAAAGAATTACATGACTTATAGACTGAAAATTTAAAATCAAAGCATGGAAAGCAGACTGGCTGTGTGGGGCGGAGGGGCTGACTGAGAAGAGGCAGGAGGGGGTCTGCCCCAGCGATGAAACATTCTCTCCAGGGTTCAGGTTACAGGGCGTGTGTACCTGTCAGACTCACTGGACTGCAGTGTGCGAGCCTGTGCATATACTGCATGGAAACGTATCACAAGAAATAAACTGTCCTGGGTCCTTATGGATGTCTTTACAGATTTAATCAAGTCCGGTGACAGTTCTCCCAGTTAATAAGGCATTTTAGGCTTTTATTTTCTGTAACTCTACCAAAGAGATAATTTCAAAACTTGCTTAAAGTAGGGTTAGAATTCATAATATATTAGTCGTCTTTCTAAAGAGGGAAGAATAAAATGTAGATTTCCATTTCTGTAAAATATCTGTAACGATTCTTTTCAGTAAAAGAGACCTAAGTAGCATCACAATTACCAAGCATCAAACAATGTCCAGCCATCCTATAGTTCTCTCTCCAGGTCAGCAATAAACTCCATTATGTTACTTCTGAAGTACCCGTCTTACACTTGAAAAAGGGCACCATGTAAACAAAAGCTAAAATGCACGTTAACATTCTTTCCAAAATACATTTCACAATTTTCCTATAAAAGCAAAGTAGAAAATCTTAAAGTAATAAATCTTACATTTCTTGAAAACTTGCACCTCTGTTTTCCCAAAAAGTGACTTGGCCTTTTCATAATCGTTAATAACCACATCATAATCACCCTTTAAAATAAAGAAACATTTTGGAGATTGTCAGTAAAGTTTAATTAATTTGGTTAAGATAAAAAACATCTTAACAACTCTTTAAAATGTAAGACATCTAGGATCATAGGTACATAAATAGGCGCTGTACCTTTTGGATGTTCCTTTCAATATTTAGAGGGAGGTTGAAAAGAAACTTGAATCGCTGGAGCACATTGAGTGCATTTCTAGTGGAATCTGCCTTGTCCTTTCGACCTAAGACTTCTTGAAATAACGTATCTGCAGTGTTACTTGCTCCTATTTTAAAAGGAGAAAAAGAAATTTGTATAAAAACTGATTTTAGTCAGAAAATGTGCAACTGGACAAAAAAAACGTTAGGCTGCTATTATACTTGATACTTAACTCAGCAGACTTTTCTAAAAGTCAATTATATTGGAGTTTTTTTTTTTTTTTTACAGTTTGCTAAAACACAATTTCCATCTTCCTTGCTAAGTCTTTTCATATGTGTATACCAATTAATGGTATCCAATTAAGAATAACCATACTTACCAGGCCCAAATAAATTCTCTAACGTGAATCTACATTTATTTTAGCTTCTTTTAAGTTTTACAGCATTATGGACCCTTAGGTTATTTCATTAATTCAGACAATAGGTTAAAACACACACATATACATGATGTGTGCACACACAAGTACACTAGTTAAATTCTCTGGATTCAGTATCTATATATTCATAGTAATTTAAAAAAAAAAGGAAGAAAAAATTTTCCGAAGTTATTCAAAAGAAGTATTTTAAACCTAACCCTATTTCTATGTAAAATTATCTATGCAGCAGGCAGAAAAACTATATAAGCAATTTAAAATACCAAATTTTAACACACCATATTAATATTTCTTAAATCAGCTTAATATTTCTTAAAATGATACATAAACTGGACATTTTATGTTTACATATATGTGTATTACTTTAAGGCCTCAAATTATATGAATCACTAACAAACGTTTATCTAAAACAAAATTTACTGTATATAAAAATACGTAAGCTTTTTCAACTTGTGAATTATTTTTAATTAGTCACAAGGAAAGGGGAGAAAAAGGATAAACTCTTTTTGGCTGTTTGATCACTGCTCATATACAGTTTCTACATTATCTGGTCTAGTGACTATACTTTAAGCAAAGATGAAAAAAATGACCTCAGTCTCACTGGGTGGCTGGCATGCCGCATTCTCTAGTCCACACTGTGGGTGGCCTGAGTGTGTTAAAAGTCGTCTTTGTAACATAATTGTTTTATCTAAATAATGTTTCAATTCTGTTGAAATTTTAAAGGCCTGATATAAAAACTTTGTTTTGTCAGTATAGCTATTTTCACCACATGTTATTTAACGTAGAATACTAAATTTCTACTATGAGAAAAGTATATGTATTCCCTTATTACCACCAAATCAGATAATGATGAGTAAATGAATATTGGAAATCTGATTAAGGTTAAAACTATTTTTCTTGGAATACTTATTATTAAGCATGTATCATTTGGAAATAGACTTCATGAATTGAGGCTTCATAAGTGAACAGATTCGTGCATGAGGACTGAATGTTTTTAAGGCCGATCACTTAGGTGTGTGCTGTGAATGTTAAATGCTCAAGCACTTTCTCTACAGTGAAGGAGTGCAAAACACCAAAGTCAGGTCTTTTCATCGTGAAGACAGCAGAGCGACGCTGACTGACGACTTTAGACACCCCTGAAAAGCGTGAAAACAGGCACAGGCAGAAAATCCACTTAAAATAAATAGCACAGACATCTGACACAGAAATCACAGAGGCAGAAATTATAAGCTATCAAGTTATAATTATACAGAAATACATACAAGATTTTAATTTATACACAAACTTTAAGTTAAATTTAAGTTAAATTATGATTTTAACTTATAAAACACTTTGTCCATACATTATCATTCTGCTGTGAACTCTACTGCATTCACAATAAAATTTTTGGAGCTCATAACTGATGACTGGATGATTATATACAGTAAGAAAATAATGAAAGCAGTGAAGCCAAGATTTGGGCAAGCAGATAAAAATCAGCAGCAGCTCACCAGCCACTTGAGGTCTTCACTCTGTGGGGCAACTGAGAAGACAAGGACAGGCTGGCTCTGGGAGCCGAGGCAGGACGCCCTGGAGCAGCCCCAGGCCCGTCTGGACTGAAGGCCGTCCCTCCCCCGCTCAGGGACAGTGTGTCCTGCTCTCAGGGACGGACACCCCCAGCATAAACAGCAAGGACAGAGGCCTCAGCTGGGCTGGCAGGGCAGTGACATGTCCCTCAGCCTAAGACAGGGCGACAGGCATGGGTCTGGAGGGCTCCACGCACATGGAGCCAGAGGCAGACACTGCATGGCTCCTGGGGCCGGAGGAGTGCAGACGGGCAGCCTCAGGGACAGAGGTGACGCCACTGCACGGCAGCCGGGTGGAGAGAACAACACTGCCGCTGGGAAAACCTCACGCCCTCTCGCCACAGACCACATGCGGCACTCCATGCAGCGACAGCACTGGGGCGACCACACGGCATCACACACGGGTATCCAGCCATCACGCTGTGCGCCTTGAGCTTACACAATATCCGTGTCAACTGTATCTCAGCAGAGCTGGAGGAAAAGATGGGGAGACGGGTCACTACAGCACTGCCCCCGGCTCTTCGGTCCTCAATGATGGGAAAGCCTGAGCCTGCACCATGAACCGTCACCCACAGAAAACACCAGGTGATTCTGAGGTGCCTGGTCACTTCGAGTGTGTCTATCAAAGCAGACACGCACTCTCTGTGGTCCTGCTCAGGCTGCTGGCACCGGCACAGACCACAGCCCAGGGGACGGTAACCCGCGTCTCTGCCTGGTGGGAGCTGGGACTCCCCCCCAGACCCATGACGCAATCTACCCCAGGAACAGGAAAGCTAATGAAATTTAAGTTAACTTTTCAACATACAGTTAAACTCATAGCAAAACTCTGACACAAAGAGACTGAACAATCTGCCACGTGTCTTGTTGCTCCTAACAAACTCCAGAAATGGGACAGACAAGCAGACATCACAGGGCAACACGAGGTGACAAGGCCACTCTCTGAGTCACCCAGCGCTTGTCTCCAGCCCGCCCGAGGCTGAGCCCCCACCAGCCTCACGTCCCCAGTCACGCGTCTCCCTGGCTCCTCTTCTGTCTCCACCCAGCTTCCTTCCAGTCCATTCTCAACAAATGGCAGAATGTTTAAGTTCACAATGTGACTTCTTTATTTAAAATCCTTCCGGGGCTCACTAGTAGCCTCAGAATAGACAAACTCCACGACATTGCATAGAAAGCTCCTCACAAGCAGACCCCTCAACCCACAGCCTCACCTCTCATATCCCGCTTACTGAACTGCAGTGGCTCCCCCGACTGGGGGCGCACCTGGGCCCACTGAGGGCAGGACAGCGCACGGTCGCGTGCAGGACCGCGTAGGGGATGGGGCAGCTGAGCCAAGCAAACAATCCTAACAATCAACTGGAAGATGACGCTTGTTCTGTGACTTCTAAAAATTTTTGTTGAAATGTTAAAAACTTGCTGTTGGTTATAAACCACTAAGAAATTTTTTTTAAAGAAGAAAAAAACAGTAAAACTAATTTTTATTTAGTATTATATTTAGTATTTATTTATTATTAATAAATAATAAAACATTAGAAGCACTGAAAATTCAAGTGTTTCATTTCTTTGTAAACAACATTATCAAGATAGCCTGCCTTCTCTTCTTGTCATAAAATCTGCAGCATGTATCAGGCACCCTTTCTGAGCTCCGACAAACGATTCACGCTCGTGTCCACAGCTGTCCGCTGTGTTCCAAGCACCCCAGGTGAGCCCCGCGTCATACCCTCTTGGTTTCCGTGGGGACACGCACCCTCACCGAGCTCCTCGGGGCTCCCACGTGGTGACAGCACCCCACCGCAACCTGTCTACACCCCCAGCTGATGGGCTCTGAACCCCGCTTTCCTTGTGCAGGCACATGGTCATCTCTGTGGACCATATCCTCCTGCGAGTTTCTCTCTGGGAGATGCGGAGGCCACACACAGGCACGCTCTGTGTCTGAGCGTGACTGGCAAGCGTGGGAACCGGGCACCCCCAACTCTACCACGATGGCAGCTGGGCATCCGTGACTGGTGAGCCAGAAACCAGGCGTACACTGATGCAACACGGTGAGAACGCTGGCCACTGAGAGCTGCGCGCTCCAACCCAACGGAGCCTGTCTGCAGTTCACAGCACAGACTCGGAGTCAGATCTCCAGACGCAAATGCCACTCACTACAGAAGTGACTTAGGAAACGCATGTCATCTTTCTGAGCCTCAGCTTTTTCATCAATAAAATGAAGATAACAGAATAAGCTTCCCAGAGTAACTGCAAGGGCTGAGCACCTGTAGGATGCGGAAGCAGCACCTGGGCCTGGCTGAGGGGCGCCGAGGTCTGGCTGTCACAGCTGCGACTACAGACGCCTGGGCCACACTGTCCCTCCCTGCAACCAGCGCTATTTAATCTGCAGCATTGGACACATGGGACCATTTCAAATAAAGTTAAAGATTACGTTCCTCAGTGACACTAGCCATGTTTTAAGCGCTCGACAGCTACACCTCCACTGCCACAGAAGCTGCTGGCGGTGCGCTCCTGGGACAGGCAACACACAGAGGAATGCAGATTCTACAGAAATCAACAGCCATCGCTGCACACAGCAGCAGCACTGGACAGCATGGCTGTGCGCTCCTGGGACAGGCAACAACACAGAGAGAGGAGTGTGGAGTCTATAGAAATCAACAGTCATCACTGCATCACTGCTTTGAAATTAAGAAGGAATTATTAAATACCAAAGCAAATATGAGAAATTTATCAGTGAGAACATGTTTTCAAGCATTTCAATGAACGGTTTCAAAACTGGTAAATTCTGAACAAAATGGACTACATTTCTTATGGCCAATGTCACCCTTCAGAAACTTAAAGTGAAAAGGATTTCCCAATTCTTAAGAAGTTCCATTTAAAACCACTCAGGAAAAGCGCTCATAAGTTAGTGCGTAGTCACGCACCAGACTGCCCCACTCTCCCGTATAATCTCTGCACAGCTCCTCAAGAGCGGTGACCAGGCCCCACTTTCTGGGCAGGGACCTGCTTGAGGGCAGCAGTCACACGCCTCCCAGCTCTGCACTGGACGCTGGGCCAGCACGACACTAGACGCGGCCAGCCTTACCAAAGTTGGCCAAGTTCACCTGAACTACAAACGTATCCTGCAATGCAAACATCAACATGCAGCTGACAGAAAAATATTTCTAGGAAAAAGGGACTGCTACAAAGGAATATATTCTACAAAAAATGTTTACCCCAGGAAGTCCTGAATCTCAAAGGACTTCTCAAAGAAGTGACATTCATGTTAAGCCAATTTACTCAAAAAAGAGCAAACCTTCAGTAGAAATCTAAAAGGACACATTTCTAGAAAAAGTTTGTGCTTATAAAGGAATAAAAGTAAAACAATTTCCCTTGCAAATTTTACTACCACACGTCTCAAGGGAGAATTACCTAAACTACTAAAAAGAAAAAAGTTATGTTATACCCTATGCTGGGCCTTACCATAAAACAGATCTTAATTTTTTCCAACCTTAACAAATATCCATTTTCTTCTACAGATACAATGAGATACTTACTAAGACAGCTTGTTCTCACTAATCACCTTTTCAAAGTTACCATCATCATTTTTTTTTAAACAGATATCATGGTTTGATGGCAATTTCCCCAGGGAAAATAACATCCCCCAAGTAGAAAACAGCCTTCCCAGCCCTTAAAATATCTGACTATGTTAATACAGAAACAGCTTTAGTAAATGCTTATTTGGGCTGAATTCAGACTATATTCATTTGAACAAAGCTGGTGACTAGATACTCAGAAAAGAAAAAGAAATGAGGTAAAATCTCAAGGCAAAATGATAATAATACAAAAAAACAGAGAGAAAAATATTTAAAGTGTTGTAAAACTCATACATTTTGACATGAAATCGAAGCACTTAAATTCTACTACAGGAAAGCCTATATCAAATTAAAACTTCTTTCTAGAAAACACTTATTATCAGAGATCCCAAGGTTTATGAACAGATTATTACAAAAAAGCCCAGAAACTTCTGCTGATGGGACTACTAAGACAGAAGTGCCAAACTGACTTGTTATCACAGTCCTACATTATAGAATCACTAAAGGGCCGATGTTGGGGGGCCTTCAATATTTTAGTTATTCTCGACTCTACTTCCTGGTGAAGTTGTATGCTCTACATGCTTATACTTGACAACTAGGAAAGTCCCCTGGACATCACTGCTCCTTGTCAAGTGTTTCACTATATCTGTGAAGACAACAGTTTACTTTCAAGCTACTAATATTATAACAGGGACTGATTTATCTGCTGAGTTTCTTCTAAATCTGTAGGGTAAGTAGCTGGAAGTTCATATGTCAGCAGAAAGAAGGGGAGGTGGATACAGCCTTGAATTCCATGTATCAGTTTCTCTTGGCCTACAATTCTTACAAAATGTCCCAGAAACACTCAAGAATGCAGCTGTCTTAAATTTGTTTTGGAAAAAGGCATGGCATAAACAAATAGACAGCTCGGTATCTGTCCTTCCAGCAGCTGATGTTACTTGTATTACCACTGGCAGATGCTTGAAGGTGCTGTTCTATGCTGTTGGTCAGTAATGATCCTGGCTACTGCCACAGCAATTTTTTACCTTTGATGATGTCATTTATGTACTAGCCTCCTTTATGGTAGCAAATTTTACTTTTTAAGAAGCATACTGGCTTGATCTCAAATGATGATTTCTCATAAATAAAATGCAAACAGAACCAGAACATTCATTTTCAATATTTTTATTCTCCTCTACGTTCATTAAATCACTCATATTTAGAAATAAATACCAAAATACAACTTAACTGCCTTTTTCTGTGAAACCAGGTCCAAGAACTATATCAAAGCTTGTTATAAAGTCCATAAATAAGTTTGGGTAGTAGGACAAAACTTACTGTTCAGAACATTCTCCAGTTTCTGCGTCATGGACCCTTCTACTTTTTCCGTTCCATCCGCTTCTAGTTTTTGATGGATAGCTAGAAAAAAAGCACCAAGTTAAAATGTAGACTATTTTAATGGGTGGGAAAATGGTACATCAAAAAAGACACTTTTAAACAGCTCAAACAATGGTTCTATTTTCACTGCTAGAAAGAAGCACAAACACAAACACTGCACAGTGACAGCGGACAGCAGCCTAAGTCCCAGCAGGTCTGCGCTGTTAAACAGCTCATAGTGCGTGGACCTAGTCATCTGATCATGGAGGCTGAGCAGTAAAGATGACTGAATTAAAAAAGAAAAATAAGGCTTAAATTACTAATATGTTTGGCATCTGGCCACAGGAAAGTCATTCTTATTTCTCAGTTCCACCATCTACAAAATAGAAATATTACTGTTTGATATCTATCAACTTCAAAATATTTAATTTCAGCCGTGGGACATAATATGGCAAAATAGATATTATTCATGTTCTACTCAGTCTATAATTATTTCCCTGGAGGTTCTCAAGAACTATCTAGTAACATCTACCAACATGTCAATTTGTGGATGTGCAAATTACATTAGAGCTTTTTTGCTAGTATTTATATGTCTGAATGATTTTGATAAAGTATCAAGAAATCATTAATTTATATTTAAAAACTTATACCTACTGATGAGAGGTAGTTTTAAAAGCAAATCAGGTTTCCTCAGGTGAATCATTAAGAAAACTTTCAAAGTAAATCTCCAAAATACAATTTCAAATTCAAAACTGTGACACAGTTAAAGTAATAAAAATAGCAAGGTAAACATTACTGAGACATGACCTTAAGCAGAGTACCATAATAAGTTTCTAACACATGATGTGCATCCAATAAGAAGCTAGTGATGAGGCTCTAATATTATTTCTATTTCATAGATGGGGAAACCATGGCTCAGTGAAATTAGACAAGTTGACCAAGGTCATACAGCCAAACCCAAAATTTGAGCCGAGGCAGTGTGATCCAAGGACAAAAGCTTCACCCCATCCTACCCACACTGCATGGCAGGTGACCCAAAGCCCTCAGCCTGCTTCCATGTCTGTAAATTGGGAACAGAACTATGTGCATGGGAACAGCGTCAGTCACCAAGAGGAGACTTCTCTCCACAGTAACAGCCGTGCAAACAGCCCCAGTATCACAGCCTGTTAGCCCTCTGCAAGCTCAGGACTGGAGCCAACGGGAAAGCCCCAGCAGATACCAAGGGTCACCTACCTGAGAGGGCGTCCTGCGCCTCAAAGAAAGTGCTGAGCCCCCCTTTCACGTACGCCAGGCTGCCCTCGCTCTTCTTGTTAGCCTGTCTCTTCAGGTGGGTGATCGCCATTTTGAGTTGTTCAAAACTGGAGTGAAACGAAGAAACCACGAGAAGACAATGTGATAATTGTAAAATACTGAAGCCTACACTGGAGACACAGACTAATACAATATGTAATCAGATGAAACCAAGCTTTCAAATTCTTACGCAGACCTAAACCTTTGCACGTGACAAACGCCAAGTTACAGCAGCTGTACGACAGGTCTGCGAGCCCTCCCGCGTCAGCCCTGAGAAGTGACTATACACGCAGACACGCTTACACTTGACCCAAATCAATACAGGATTTGCCAGGTAAGGAGTTCTGAAGAGCACCCCCAGAGGCAGAGGCCCGGACCACCTGGGGGTAGGTGGCGGGACCCCCTGGACATCCCCTCTGTGCACGTCACCACCAGGCCCCACCACTGGCAGTGATCTCACAGGAGTCACGGGGGCAGCTCAAACTTAAGTGAACAGACCGTACTGCATCTTTATAACTCAAGCAGAGGAAAATGGGCTGGTCTCTGCATTTCAGAAGGTTTATTTCCACTAAAGCTAAGAAAATCTGGCCATAAAGTGTTGACCATATTCTTGAGTGCCAAGATGGTACTACACAGAGAACAGAGATCAATCCTGACTTACGGTAACAGAAAAGCACATCTATGACGTGAAATCAGAACCATCTTCCCCAAAGAAAGACTTCAGACATTTTCTCTAAAAATTTACCAGGCCAAATTTTCTCTAAGTATATACCAACTTTTCTTATTTTCTATGATGGTTTTGATCCCAATAGGTGAAGGAAGAATTTCTTCTAAGATGTATTTTAACAAGTTCGGATGTTTCAAGGATACAAATTTTAAACAATAAACCATTTATTCAAACATTTCTAGTACACAAAAGTGTTCTAGCTAGTCTTGCATTAAGAGTCACAGATCTACTGCTGCCCAGAGGGTAAACTCTTAAGTAGTATAAAAAGAGGAGCACTGTAACTGGATATATGACCCTTATTTTTTGGCTAATTTTAAGTCAAGTCTTTGAAAAATGATAAACAACTCATCTTCCTTTGCTCTCTGGTCAGGAAGGAGGTACCTTCCTTGTTTTAGACCAGTACTTGAGAACTCTGTTACCTGAGCAGGGAGGGGGTCACACGCAGACACAGGACAGCAGCTGAGACTCTGAAGTTTTACCAGGTGGCACAAACAATGAAACATACAAAAACATCAGGGTAGAAGGAAATAGGGCTCCTCAAATTAATGATCCCATTCTATAAATAAGGAGCCAGCTACTCTGATGTGTTCACAAGCACCTGAGGTCAAGAGGGCTGCTAAGCAGCACAGGGAAACCCGCGCTACCACATCTGATGAGCTGCACCCCGAGAAGCCACACGGCACTGCCCGCACCCTCACCTGGTGTTGGAGTGGTTCTCGATTAGGTACCAGGCAGCTGAAAAGTTCTCACTTGTAAAGTCAGCACTCATTCCAGGGAACAGCATTTCTAAGTCCTTCTGGGGAAATTTACCTCTGAGGGAGGAAAAAGGCTTAAGATGTGTTTAGGGTGCTATTACTACAAAGATGTAACCAAGAGTAATAAACATGGACACAAATCATTACAATGATACATGAGACATTACGGAGTCTAAGTCTTTATGTGTGAAAAATAAACTTCCTACACCATATAAACTTTAACTGTATATATAAACTTTGTATATATGATAGAAAATTAGTTAAAATACAGAAATCATATCAATAAAAGAACATAAAGCTTAAAGAGGCTGAGCTGATACTTCATGAAATCTATCCAAATAGAAATCATTTCCTATCCAATGATAGACAAAATTTAGGTACACTGACATTAAAAACAGTAAACCAACCTGTTAAAATGCTTTCTGTTAAGGACCTATGTGAAAGCTGGCTTAAGACACACTGATGCTAACAACGGTTGCTGACCCAGGCAGATCTGTACGGCACTCACGTTTCTATGAGCATGTCTAGATCAAGTTCAAGGAAAGCTGATGCTGATGAACAGTCCCTTATCTGCAGCCCCTCTGCAGATACGAGGAAGCCTGTGCCGCCACGGGCGAAGGACGGCGGAGCCAGGCTCCTCACAGCTCGGTGACGCTTCTGGGTCCTGACTCAACCAGTTGTGGAACCCACCATCTCTGGACTTCGTATATTATGAGAAATAAAAAATATCTTCCTTGCTTACAGCACAACGAATTTGTTTTCTATTACTTACAGCTGAAGGCATCCTGAATCTACCCCAAAATAAGACCTGTTACACAAACACCTCAAAAAGAACGTGAGATAGAAGATCCAGAGAGAGCTGACAAGGGGTGATGCCCCCGGAAGCAGCGATGCCCCGTGGGGAGCACAGCCACAGAGGCAGCGGCAGCGCAGGGCTGTATGCAGGTTTACAGAGTTTCTGAACAACCTTGAGGAAGTTATTTTACCTCCCTAAGGCTCCATTTATTCATGAGGACAATGGGATCATAATATCTTCCTCAAGAAAATGCTGAAGATTAAAGTAGGTAATGCATGTGGAAGGCTTAATAGTTTTTGACACTTACTAAATGCTCAAAACTGTTACTTTGTTACCTTTATTCTTTACACTTGGTTCTCTATATTGAATAGATTCTTTCACTAAGAACCATTTTATCTGATTCTCCTAACAACATGATGAGTTAGATGATTCCATTTCAGAGTCGGGAACAGCCCCAGTACTTCTACTGTCAGATAAAGAACCAGTGAGTCTTACGAAAAATGTCTCTCTCTATATATATATATATAGCTATAAATCTAGAAAAATAGAAAGTGGGGGAGAGATTCAGAATGCAGAAAACTGCTAACAGTCTTGGTAATGAGGAAGAGCAGAAGCACTGTGTCAGAGGAGCATGAAGTCTGGAGACTTAAAGCTCTGTCCAGAATAACTGGGTCTTAAGGTCTGACCCTCTAAGTGAAGTCATAGCTTACCAGTAAGGCATATTCTAAGTGACCGACTAAATCCACACTTTGAACTCACTAACCAGAGAGTGCGAGCAACAGAGTCTAATGTGTAACACATGATGTGACTCCACTAAGGAACCAACCGTTTCTGTAGCTGACAACCTTCGTGCCCCCACAGTGCATGCTCCCCATTAGATGGCAGTGTGAACTCAGATTACACCTTGCGAAGGGTTTAGCCATGAGGACCCAGGTACAGTGATCAGGTGTAAAACTACAGGAGTGTCCTCAACACAGCAGCATTCACTTTCAAAGAGGAAACTGACCTGACGACCCCCATTCAGCAGAACAACAAAAGTCCTTCTGAGAAAAGTTCCCTGCACCCACAGAGAGGGCTGGGTGAGCAGCCTGGCTGAGTCCACGCCCCGCGCTCCAGCTCCCAACTGCAGGCAGAAAGATGGGGGGAGCGGGAGAGTGCGGCTCTCCTGACATGGTGGTCCGCACAGCTCTCACTCCAGCCCCGTGTTACTCTGTGCGTTAAACGCCGTCAGCCTGTTGGGACTGTGTGTTTTTTCCTTTTGGTCTCACACAGTTTCTGAACACAGACACTGTACCACAGTCCACAAGTCTGTTTTTAAAAAACTTCTAAAAGGTATTCTTTTCCAATGTGCTTCCCTTCCACACTCATACTAAGAACTACTCTGTCACCTTTCCTTGTTTTCTAACTGGAGCAGGAAAACTGGTCACCTCTTCTTTCTACTGGAAGGCAGCCTGATGAGGGGCAGGCCAGGCTGCGCAGCTCATGAAGCCTCTGTGGACACAACCCAGAGGTCATGGGGCATCAACTCACTGCTCAAGACACTCTTCCCAGGTAGTAACTCCCAACAAAAGGTGGATCATACAAAAGCGGGGCAGGGTGTGGTGGGGAGAAGCTCCACTGTAATGCCCTTACTCCCATATGTCAGTCAGTCCAGTCACTCAGTCGTATCTGACTCTCGACCCCATGGATGGCAGCATGCCAGGCCTCCCTGTCCATCACCAACTCCCAGAGTTTACTCAAACTCATGTCCATTGAGTTGGCGATGCCATCCAACTATCTCATCCTCTGTCGTCCCCTTCTCCTCCTGCCTTCAATCTTTCCCAGCATCAGGGTCTTTTCACATCAGGTGGCCAAAGTATTGGAGTTTCAGCTTCAGCATCAGTCCTTCCAAAGAATATTCAGGACTGATTTCCTTTAGGGTGGACTGGTTCGATCTCCTTGAAGTCCAAGGGACTCTCAAGAGTATTCTCCAGCACCACAGTCCGAAAGCATCAATTCTTCGGTGCTCAGCTTTAGTTATAGTCCAACTCTCACATCCATACATGACTACTGGATAAACCATAGCTTTGACTAGATGGACCTTTGTTGGCAGAATAATGTTTCTGCTTTTTAATATGCTGTCTAGGTTGGTCATAGCTTTTCTTCCAAGGAGTAAGCGTCTGTTAATTTAATGGCTGCAGTCACAATCTGCAGTGATTTTGGAGCCCCCAAAATAAAGTCTCTCACTGTTTCCCCATCTATTCACCATGATGTGATAGGACCAGATGCCAGGATCTTAGTTTTCTGAATGTTGAGTTTTAGGTCACCTTTTTCACTCTCCTCTTTCACTTTCATCAAGAGGCTCTTTAGTTCTTCTTTGCTTTCTGCCATAAGGGTTGTGTCATCTGTATATCTGAGGTTATTGATATTTCTCCCAGCAATCTTGATTCCAGCTTGTGCTTCATCCATATACGTACCATCTCCAAAAGCTTCACTTACAAATACTCTCTTATTAGGTAGAGAGGACTTTCAAGAAATAAAACCTAGGGAAGGCTTTTACTTATTAATATGAACATGTTTTTATCTTCTTTTTTCAGTTTAAATAGTTTGTCTCCATCATAATTTAAGCAGTGCAAAAAGTGCCCATTTGTGACGATCAGTATATTAGAAATACAGACTTTTTACGAGCAAATCCTAGTCTCAGTTCAAAGTAAAGTAATTTTTTTCCAAGTAATTAGCAACATTTTTATAAGTTTCAAGGCACTGTGTGTGCAAAATATCAGTTAAAAGCCTAGGAACATGAAGGCCTTATGGGCAGTTGAAGGAGGCCCATAAACGCCAACTGCTAGGCCTGTGGGCAGAAAGACCGCAGCACCCTGACGCGCACACAGGGAGACGCGCCCCTTGCTGCCTCTCGCTGGCGGCTCACACTCAGAGGCACTGCAGGGCGCCCCGGGCTCCATACCACACATGTGACTGTGGGACAAGAAACTCCATAAACATTCACACTGTCATAGACAGGAGCCGACTCCTCTTCCACATATGACCTCAGCACTTCAGTCTGGGAATAAATCAGGACCACAGCAGTTTACAACAAGTAGTTGTAATTCTTCAAATCTTCTCAATTAATACATTTCAACAAGCAACTAATTAAATCCTGTTATTCCTTCTCTGATGACATTTTTAAAAAAATTAAAAATAGGTTGTCTCCCATCTTCCAATTATAAAAGCAGCCCCAAATGACATTAATAAACAGAAATAAAAGACACAGTAAGAGGAAATGCTCTCAGGGATTCTAACCTGAGTGCAGCCCCATTCTCTACAGGGACCAAAGCTTTTATCTAAAAAATATGAAGTGAGTCAGGGAAATAAAATCCATACCCATATTTTAAGATCTGCTTTTCCTTTCCTATCCTTTTTCTAAAATAAGGCTTCTCTATTTGAGGTCAGACTTCAATAAAACAAATGCAGCTTTCCTGACAGTATCTTTAGAAGCTAAGCAGGAACCTGAAAAGTATTTTTCTGGCCAAAACTACTCTCTTCTCTTGGTTTCAATACATTTTCCTACTTTCATCTTCCATGTTCTGGCTCTCTGGAAGCTCTCTCCATTCCTCCTTTTGATGAGACACTTGCGAACGGGCCATCCTCTCACTGTGTGCCGGGGCCCCCACGCCGTCCAGGTGCTCCTGCTCTCTGCTGTCACAGAAGCGGAAGTGGGGGCTGACACAGACCAGAGGTGCCCGGCACAGAAACTCCTGTCAGGTGAGTGTGCACCTGGAAAACCACCGGGCAGAGAAGGGACCGGTGGGGCGGCTTCCAGCACTCCTCACTGCCCACCCTGCCTGCCCCCTGGAATTCCCTCTCAACTGGTTTAACATTTCACTGTTTTTTCCCATTAATGAATGAATTAAATAAAAGCTTGGACATGTCTGCATTTTGTTTTTGTATGACAGTCAAGCTTCTACCTTTTCTAAAACTATCCTTTAGTTATTCCATGGCTGAGCAAATTATTATTGAAACTTTCAAGGAACAGCTTGGAAGAAATATTATGGTAAATTTTATCACCATCTGAGCACTTCTTGAATGTACATATTACTATTTTAAGATTTGAATACAATTTATCACCCTGAGATCCTAAGTCATGAAAAGGCTTTTCTCCTGGGCAGAAGAGCACTGACTAATACGCTGTGAGCGCACACCCGCCCCCCTCACCCCGCCCGCTCAAACACACGCCCCGACACAGGCCCCTGCCTGCAGACTCCAAGTCACCCTGCAGGCAGCGGGAGGGCCGGGAGCCAAGTGAGAGAAGGGCTTGGACCCAACTCACTCCTTCAGAGGAGAAAGAAAAACCATTTCCAAAGAGTCGGGCACTTTCAGTGCCTTCTGGCTGGTCACCATTACATAAGGATTACCCTGAAACCTATTCAGAATGAGGGCTCTACAGGATGGGAGGGGTCTGGGGGAGAACGGATACATGTATATGTATGGCTGAGTCCCTCCACTGTTCACCTGAAACTACCACAACATTGCTAATTGGCTATGCCCCAATACAAAATAAAGTTTAAGGTTTGAAAAATAAAATAAAGGAAGAGGGCAGTAAGAGAGAGCTCAAGCCCCCTTCACGGCTAGTGGCAGCAGCAGTAACAAGACAATCGAAAGGTGAGAGGACATGAAAAGGTAGAGAGGTTAAACTGCGGTAGATCACAAGACAAACTTAAACTCAAGGAAATCATTTTATGATAGTGAAAGTCACTCAGTCATGTCCGACTCTTCATGATCTCTTGGACTATACAGTCCATGGAATTCTCCAGGGGATCTTCCCAACCCAGGGATCAAACCTACATCTCCCGCATTGCAGGCAGATTCTTTACCAGCTGAGCCACAAGGGAAGTTCATTTTATGACAGGAAATAACCAATTTAATCCTAACTTTGATAGTTCTGTCTAGTTCAGTTCAGTTCAGTTCAGTCGCTCAGTCGTGTCTGACTCTTTGCAACCCCATGAACTGCAGCACGCCAGGCCTCCCTGTCCATTACCAACTCCCGGAGTTTACTCAAACTCATGCCCATCGAGTCAGTGATGCCATCCAGCCATCTCATCCTCTGTCGTCCCCTTCTCCTCCTGCCCCCAATCCCTCCTAGCAACAGGGTCTTTTCCAATGAGTCAACTCTTCGCATGAGGTGGCCAAAGTACTGGAGTTTCAGTTTTAGCATCAGTCCTTCCAAGGAACACCCAGGACTGATCTCCTTTAGGATGGACTGTCTAAGGCTCAAACAAAAGTCACAATGTATTTCTATACTCCTGTGGGAATCTTTTTCAGAAGAACCCCCCAGAGGGCCCTTCTGCTCCATACTGCATGTAGCGGACCTTAGAAAGAAGCAGAATCCAGGGCGCTGAAGCAGGCCACTGGAGGATTTACTCTCAACCACAAGGTCCCCTTGTGCAGGAAAATCTGTTCAAATAAAGACCCAGCAATTACCTTTCTTTCCTGGATGTTCTTAATCTTTAAACTCTTAATTTATCAGGCACTGAAACCCTTAAAACAGCTCCAGAATGACCCATGGTGGCTAAAGAGCTTCACAACTGTGACCCAGAACAGTCCACGCTCACTAAAACCTGACTTTTAAAAACCTCAGGGCTTTTTCAAAACAGGACAACGTCCCAAGACACATACGTGCTCCCTCCCTCTCAGCTGGCACAAATGCCAGCAGGGGAAAAGCAGCCTGCTGGTGGCTTACTGGTGGTCTTCAAGTGTAGACTTGAAGCTTAAATACATAAAGGTTAATGGACAACCTTCCCCATTCCTAGAGAAACCTAAAGAAGCTATGGCTAATAGGCTAGGGGATTACTCTGTCAGAGGCAGAAGTGTTTATAGAGCAACACTCGGTATCATTATCCCCAACAAAGTCACCAAGGCCAAAAGACAAATCAGGACTTGACGTGCAGGGGAGCTCAGGCAGGAAGACGCAGGGACAAAGGCGCCGAAGTGGAAGCTGTGAGCATGGCACTTGGAATTAAGAACCGGGAATTCTGGATCTGGTCCAAGACATTTGGAAAGATACCATTTACCCGCCATAATTCTGGTAAAGTAAGTCTGAATTAAGTATGAATTACAGGTAGAGAACGTAAACAAAATGACAAAACTACACTGGGTCTAATTACTGTCAAATATTTCCTGAAAAATCAAGCACATAGAAAATTCTATTTTAATCTCAGATACCATCTAAATATTTAAACTTACCAGCTCCAGACAACACACTAACTCTCGTATCATTAGAAGTATTGGTTATTAAAAATTTCAAAATACATTTTTCCTTCGCAGAATGAAAACTCAAAAACTAAAGAGGTAGGTAGGTTTTGCCAACATTTTAATTGGAACATTCACTCTAGCAGGCTCCAGAAATGACACCGATTCCCAACGACAGAGGCATCTTCAGTCGTGCTTCCCTGCATGTTTATGGAGCCTGAACACATGAAACTCTTCAGCACGTGGAAAGCAAGACAACTGAGGTGAGGCAGTACTCACTTTTCAACCTCGATGCCGAGTGGGTTGGCAGGACGCAGGGACAACGGAGGAATCCCTTTATTCCTGTCGGTGCGCATGTCATAGTAATTCATCTCATCAACCCACACAGCGGACTGATCCAAAATGCCTACCAAAACAAGGAGCACAGACTTAACAGGATACACACCCCCCAGGCACTGTCTAAATCTTACTATATTGCTTTCCTGTTTTAAGACCTAACACAAAATGAATACCAAAGTAATTTTTTAAGATCTGATGGCATAAAAGCTTTAATTTCTTTCTTAATTAAAGCACTAAAAATACATAAAAAGGCAGAAACAACAGCTCTTTATTGTAATGTACATTATTCGATACAGAAGATAAATTAACATCTGAGAAAAAGCTCTGCTAAAAACATGTATTTTACAAATAATAAGCAGTACAGTTACTGTGGTATATCAGCAAAGTATCCGACAATTCCTTATATAAAGAAATCAGTCAAACACCTTCCAAGGAATGCATAGCTTGTGTGATGGAAATGACAGACATTCAGGAAAAACAAAATGCCATCTCTGAAAGCAGCACCCTCTCTCACATGACTGAGCCCTTTGTCACTCTCCCTGGCAGGCACTTCCCAGGGTCCCCTCTCAGACCCAGGGCATGGGCAGGGAGCTGGGTGAAGTGGAGTGCAGGGCGGGGCCAGAGCCCCCTGAAGGAAGGGCTCTGGGCCCAGGCAGCCTCCAGTGGCAGGACTCCTCGTGAGCCCTCTGTTTCAATCAGCACCACATTTGCGCCAGGACGCAAGAAGGCTGTCAGAGGGAAGTGCAGGTCCAGGCGCTCCCAAGTGCGGTTTCGTAAGCCTTTCCTGAGCCTGTACATGCTAAGTCCTGGGCAGAGCATTTTAGAATAAAGTCAATACTTGATAATAAGTTCTCTTTATCTGCTGTATAAACATGATACAAGATGGTACTAGATTCTGTCAAAATGTTTTGACAAAATCAAAAAGGTTCCTCCAGAAAACTGAAAACAAGCTCCTACTTTGTAATTTCACAGTTCAAAGACATTAAACAAAATTAAGCAAAAATAAGAATACTGTGCATATAAAAATGTGTACATGTATTTGCATACACATTTGTATACCTATGTACAGGTCTTCCCTGGTGGCTGAGACAGTAAAGAATTTGCCTGCAATGTGGGATACCTGGGTTCAATCCCTGGGTTGGGAAGAGCTCCTGGAGAAGGGCATGGCAACTCCAGTATTCCTGTCTGGAAAATTCCATGGACAGAGGAGCCTGGTGGGCTACATCCATTGGGTCACAAAGGCTTGGACATGACTGAGCAGCTAAGCACAGTACAGCAAGTACCTATATGTAAATCACATTTTGAATTTTCCCTTAAATCCCTCAAATTTTTATTAAAAAAATTTAAAAATCATTTCTATATTAAAAACTTTAACGATATAATGGTAAAGAAGGGTTTTATGCTCTAAGACAGAAAACAATACTTGCAAAATTCTTTGCTTTCGCTATGAGAGAAGTATGGCCTGGGTGTAATTGTGCCTGTGATAGCTCCACATTATTTAAGTATTTATCTGCGGACCATGCTCCAGCCACTACAAGGCCACATTGTTTAAGTATTTATCTGCGGACCATGCTCCAGCCACTACAAGGCCACATTGTTTAAGTATTTATCTGCGGACCATGCTCCAGCCACTACAAGGCCACATTGTTTAAGTATTTATCTGCGGACCATGCTCCAGCCACTACAAGGCCACAAAGACAGAGAGGGGAGATGCTGTGCGCACGGAGAGCTAGAGGAGCTGAAACGGTCATTTACAGAGCACTCACTCCGACTCCATGTGGGGTTACACTAAGCGCTTCCCTGAATGTCCTAACTCGTCAGTCCTCTGGCGTAGGTGGCCCTGGGACTGCACTCCCTCCCACAGCTGGGGGCTGTGTGTATGAGAAGTCGTGTCTGACTCTTTGCGACTGTAGCCCGCTAGGCTCCTCTGTCCACGGGACTCTCCAGACACGCACACTGCAGTGGGTTGCCATCTCCTCCTCCAGGGGCCACCCTGACGCAGGGACTGAGCCTGCGCCTCCTGCGTCTCCCGCACTGGCAGGCAGGCTAGGCAGCACTGCACCTCAGCTGAGGGCTGCCCAGACTGTGCGGAGCCCCGGCTCACGCCAAGCTCCGCCCGGGCAGAGAAGTGCAGGGAAGTGCGCAGAGGGCCCAGAGCTGCCTGGGGCAGGAGCAGCCGGCTTGTCTAATCTGCAGGCGAGAGGCACACCTGTGCCATCAACGTCTTGTCCAGGCCACAAACGCAGGAAGGGAAGAAAAATGAAACATTATTTAGATGATATTACTGGCTAATTTGTATCACAGAAAGAAATGCCATTATTGTATTCAAGATCAAGAAACTACAACTGGTATTTTGGCATGTTAAATGTGCAGACTTTATAAAGAACTTAAAACAACATTTCTTTATAAAGAACTTAAAACAACATTTCTTCTAAGGATTATCATCCTTAGGGTTTATTGTTAGCTCAGTAAACTACTTTTTCAAAAGTAACACAAATTTTAACCAATATCCTATTCCTAAAGAAAGAAACAAACTGAATCTGACAGTAAGTAAATTTTATACTAATTTACCAATTGTCAATTTTAAAAGACAAAACCCAATTTCAGTATGCTCATGAGAGGAAAGGCACAGGAGATGATACCTATTTTCTCAGGTTTGAGCAGCTTGAAAGACACTGTGGAGGTTCCTTTGCCACCCGACTTGGTCGTGACGATAATATCTCCTTTGTCATTCTTGGCCTGTCCCACTCGACACACTATTTTACTTGCAGACATCCACTCTGCTGTCAGGAGGCAATTATGCCCACAAATTGTCAGACCTGAAAGTAAAAGCATGCACTGTAACAAAGTCCAAAACAACGACTATGTCCATGAAAAGACAATTCTGTTAGTGTCACTAGGCCTTTTCATGAACTAAAAAGCAAATACAGAAATAACATATCCTGGTTCATTAGTTATTCCCAATTTTTAATATATCCAATATTATTTGCAAATAAACTACAGTCTCTACTGAATTCTGTCTCATCTGTTTTTTCTCTAATATTTAAGACTTCCTTTAGATTACACTTAATTTTCTTCAAACATCAGTGGAATAAGAACTAATAACCATAACAATGGCTAGGCATTCCAGATTACTCTATAAGAATCTTTAATTGCTTTCATAGGAATTAGGAAGGAAATTATTGCTATTTTTAGAAGTCTAAAGTGTATTATTAATAAATGTGTACATTATTCTCTAAAAAAAATTTACCATTTTCCTAACAACAGTCTGCACACACTTTTCCTGGTGTTTAGTTACATGTAATATTATAGAAGGAACTAAAACAAACGTCATGTTAAGCACAGCCTGGAGTCTGCTGAGTCAGTAAGTATTCTCAGGCATTACTAGATTACTAGTGCATTTTTCATACCTGCATATCACTCCTGCAATGGAGTCGGTCCACGCTGCCTCAGTGTTTTCCTAAAGGTCCTGTCACTACAGTACACTCTGCTCCAAAAGCTCAGCCCATGCCTGACATCTCTGCCCACCCCACGTGAACTGTGGGGCAGTAAACACACGAGGAAGACGTGGCTCCAGCAGGGCACCAACATCCCCCCATACACTTCTCTACAGAACACACACCAGTGTGGGAAACATTCAGGGAGAAAAGAGACCAAAGTGTATGTGGCAAACACATGCACCTTTTCTTCTCATCATCTAACTTCTGATACTGCTTAGTAGTCAACTTTGGCAAATGTAATATTTTTTTTAAACATCAGATACCAGAACACCTCAACTTATGCCAAATTCAGTTTAAAAAAATGTAGCGAGGGATTCAAGTCATCTTTTGTTACAACTTAAAGCACTATTTAGTAAGAATGCTATATTAACCATAAAAGAATAAAAACAACTCCATTCTACTTATCGAAATAATTACTGAAAATAATTATAAATTATAATAATTTATTGAAATAATATTCAACCCTGAATATTCACTGGAAGTACTGATGCTGAAGCTCCAATACTTTGGCCATCTGACGCGAACAGTCGATTCATTAGAAAAGACCCTGATGATGGGAGAGATTGAGGGCAGGAGGAGAAGAGGGTGGCAGAGGACGAGATGATTGGATGGCATCACCAGCTCGATGGACATGAACTTGAGCAAACTCTGGATGATGGTGAAGGACAAGGGAGCCTGGTGTGTTGCAGTTCATGGGGTTGCAAAGAGTCAGATAAAGACTAAGTGAATAATAACTGAAATAATTAATTTCAGAGATTTTCCTACAAGATCTATTATTATTTATTCATGTAAGAAATTTAGTTTTTCTTGAAAGTTCCTTTAGAATTAAGTTTTCTATTTTTTTAATGTGATGACATTTACATATTTTAAAATGCACTCGTAACTCAAAATTATTTTTCAAAATGGGAGTGTTTATTAGTTTTCCTGATACTTAATTTTTATTATGAAAAATTTAAGCAATTTAAGAAGTTGTCAGCACCCCTGGAACATTTTTCCATCTCCAATATAAGCCTGAAAAACACTTCAATACATATTTGCTCATTTTTGTGCACACATTCAACAGGCTATGTATTTAAATAAATGGAAAATGTTTTAATTTATGAACTGTTTAATTACAGATGCTGGATATTTTGATATCACTCTAGGTCAATACATAAGCTGATATTTTTAAATTTTATAATATCAAGATTTTGTGATTTAAATAACTTCAGAAAGGAAATAACCCAATGATAAATATCAGGTCTCAAAGTATTAAAGTTCCTAATATAAGTTCACTGCTGGGGAGCTACCTTACATTAAAACTGAGAAAAGGGAGATTTCAGATACACAGACAAAGCTGTAGAAACACACCCAGACGAGCAGACACACGACAGCGACGATGGTCCAAGTCTAAAGGAAAGGAGCCACAACAATAGTTTGCTCATCTGGTTGCAGCTGTTATTAAGGTTCCTCAGATTTAATATGCCCTGTATTTCAACTAAAAAAAATCATCATCATCATCATCATATAATTTAAACAGGTCATTTTAAATGTTATGGAAATTAAATAAAACCATAAGATCTATTTCTTAAGCATATTCTGCTAAGGAATCTGCTTCATGAAATCTAACATTTTAAAAAAATACCTTGTAGAATTCGAAATAAAGTGTTTTTAAAGTGTTTTACTTGGCTAGTATAGACGTCATCAGAGTTAAAAATGTTTAAATTATTTCGTAGGTTAAATCTGCTTTTTAAAAAAAATGGTTTCTTTGCAATACCTGGACAAGCTGAAAGCTGAACTAGCAGGTTTAAAGAAGCCCAAAACACTTGGTCCAGCAGTAATCACACTCCTGAAGCTAGCATGAAGTCCGCACCCATGCAGGCCTGTGGCAGCACCATGTGGGCGCTCAGGGGCCACCAGTGAAACTGCAGGACAGAACTTCCAGCTAGACAGTCATTTCCAAGAATTCTAGGGACGTTTCCACTTTTATAAAGAACAAACTGGAATGAGTTTTGTCAAGAACCAAGACTACCTTCATAAGAATAATAAACTTAAGTTTTATTTACTTAACAATCACAAACTATAGCTAAAGAAAACAACATAAAATGAGACATATTTAAGTAACAACATAAAATGAGACATATTTAAGTAACACTAGTGAAAAGAACAAGCTGGGAAAGGCAAGACTCAATAACTAAACGTGGTACCCAACTCCAGTCAGCTTTCTCCTCTGCGAGGGATTTCTGGGCAGCCAGAAAACAACGTCAACAGAAACAAGCGCCAACTCATAACCTCTAGTATTTACCCACGTTGCTGTTGTTCAATTGATAAGTCATGTCTGATTCTCTGCAATCCCATGGACTGTAGCATGCCAGGCTCCCCTGTCTCTCACCATCTCCTGGAGTTTGCTTAAACTTGTGTCCATTGAGTCAGTGATGCTGTCCAACCATCTCGTCTTCTGTTGTCCCCTTCTCCTCCTACCCTCAGTCTTTCCCAGCATCAGGGTCTTTTTCCATTGAGTCGGCTCTTTGCATCAGATGACCAAAGTGCTGGAGCTTCAGCTTCTGCGTCAGTCCTTCCAATGAATATTCAGGCTTGGTTTCCTTTAGGACTGACTGGTTTGATCTCCTTGCTGTCCAATGGACTCTCAAGTCTTCTCTAGCAACACAGTTTGAAAGCATTGATTCTTTGGTGCTCAGCCTTCCTTACGGTCCAACTCTCAATCCATGCAGGACTACTAGAAAAACCACAGTTTTGAGTATGCAGACCTTTGTTGGCAAAGTGATGTCCCCATTTTTCAATATGCTGTCTAGGTTTGTCATAGCTCTCCTTCCAAGGAGCAAGCGTCTTTTAATTTCATAGGTGCAGTCACTGTCTGCAGTGATTTTGGAGCCCAAGAAAATAAAATCTGTCACTGCTTCCACTTTTTCCCCTTCTGTTTGAGATGAAGTGATGCGATTGGATGCCATGATCTCAGTTTGTTGAATCTTTTGAGTTTCAAGCCAGATTTTCCATTCTCTTTCACCCTCATCAAGAGGCTCTGGTTCCTTCATAAATTAAGAAATGAGTCAACAGAATGTCTGAATCCAAATAAATTAAAGTGGGAAATCAGAATACATATTCAGAAGCACATACTGAGGTGCCTCCCTTCCTCACCCTGAATGTATCTGCACAACCTCACAGAGTTCACAACTGACCTCACAATGACACTGATGGTTTGCTCTCTACCCACAGGTGTTAAGTTTACAGACAGCATGTGGCTGTAAGTCTGGAGCCTTGGTGATCCCCACCCTGAAGGGTATCTTCGTGTAGACAGGTGGCCTGCAGGTCCCAGGTGTGGCCAGGCGGAAAGTACATGGTCCTCCAGGTAGAGGGAATTTAGATTTGGTTCCAAGAGCCCTAAGGACCAGAAGAGGCTAAGCTGACCTGAACCTGAAGAGGAACACAGACGGCCGTTTGAGGAGAGGAAGCAGAGCTGGGCAGCTGCACTGGCAACCCAGGCAGGAGAAGCCAACACTGAGCAGTAAGACAGTGCCCCACGGCCGGGGTCTGTCTCAAGGACCAGGAGAAAGACAACACAGGCAAAAGTTGATAAAACAATGATTTTAACAAAAAATCAGAAAAACAAATAATTCTTTCATTTCCATCCAGAGAGCCCTGCACACACCTCAGGGGTGTTTTTCTGTCACCTTCATTATTTCCAAACAGTGAACTGGCATCTTGCTTCAGCTGCCAACATAAAGATGCCTTTACTATGAACACACAGCATCAGCCCCGCCCTTACCTATGAGGTCAGCTGGCCCAGTCCCCAGGTTTTCCCCTCTAATCGTGACCTTCGTCCATGGGATGCCTTCATTTGGAGAGATGCCTGTCACAAGAGGGGGCTGTCGGGATCGAGACATTGTGCTTGCTGAAGAAACGAGGTCAAGCTACAGAAGCAACCTATTAAAAGAAAAGCAAGAGTTAGTGCTGACTGAGGCCAGCATCCACCAGGAATGTCAGAGGCACACGTGCAGTGCCAAACCCCGCCGTCTTCTTCATACACGGGCACTGGGGTCCAGCTGCGGGTTAACCCACTGACCACACCTCCTGAACGTGAGTGACCCAGGACACGAGCTCGTACGGGGAGGGAAAGCAGGCAAATGGACTTCCACGTCCACAGGAAAGACAGACTGAGGCCTCCTGAGCTCCACCTCTGCCCCCCAGGTACATGCTGGAAGCGCCTCGAGGAGGACATTCTGACCTAAACAAATTCATAAAAGTTAAAGAACGTCTCCATTCTCATAGGTGTATGGAATTTCATTTTGTTTTTGTATTAGACTTAGCATAGCAACTTTTAAACGTGTTCAGATCAACACACTGACATTTTCAACACACAGGCAGGAGCAGCGACTTGCCGACTTTCCCAGTGTGGGGCAGCAGAAGTGAAGCTCCTGAGGTCAGGTGCTCTGCTCTGACTAGTGCTCCGACAGGCTAATTTCACTCCGTTTTCAGGTACAGACACTGCAGTCAGTAAGAGAGCTCTCCACAGGGCTGCAACTACAATCAAGAAGATAATCCCGGCAAAGCAGCACTCCTAGTGCACAGTACATGTGTCCATGCTGGGCCACTCAGTCGTGTCCAACTCTTTACAACCCCGTGGACTGCAGTCCGCCAGGCTCCTCTGTCCATGGGATCCTCCAGGCAAGAATACTGGAGTGGGTTGCCATAGCCTCCTCCAGGGGATCTTCCTGACCCAGGGATCGAACCCAGTCTGTCTCCTGCATTGGCAGGCGGGCTCTTTACCACTAGCGCCACCTTGGAAGCCCAGTAAATGAAGAGAACTCTTCAAGTGCTGAAGACTTAACATGTCCCACAAGACGAGGGGAAGGTGGGCTCAGAGGAAAAGCACTGAGAACTTGCTGGATGCCTGTCTTTTTATGGGTTAATAAGTTAGACTGTGGCCCCTGCCTTTACCCTGCCATCAGCCAGGTGAGAAGTTCAATATCTGATGTGACTAAACAGAGAGGACCAGGACTCAGGGACATCAGGCACGGGGGGAGGAGGGTGCCCACCCTCTAGCCTAACTCCACCCTGTTCGGGCAACAACAGCCACTCTGGAGAAGCTAAGGGGCCCTGAGAAGAGGGAACCAAAGACTCCAACATGGCAGGTCCTCCCGAGAAGAAGGCCTCATGCAGCCACATCACCCAGAGAAAAGCCAGACATAGACCAATTCTGCCCATGCACAGACGAGACGAACAGCTGTCACAGCCTTGTCCTAAAATACTCAAGGACAGACAAAAACTGTAAGGTGGTCAGGGAAGATGCAAGAGGTGAAAGATCTAAAACAAGGCCCAGAGGAAACAGAGATAAGGCTGGTGGTGTGGGCTAAAGTGCTTCCCCCAGACTTGTGTTGAAGTCTGTCTCTGTGTCTCACTGTGCACACTGCTTGTTGAACCCACGGTAGGCAAGGCGTGAGCCAGGAAGCTGGAAGGCGGTGCAAGGAGCTGCAGACATGCTTCTTTTCTCCTGGCTGATGCAGCAGCTGTCAGCAGCAGCCATAACATAACTCCAAGCACTTTCCAGGTGGCGCTTATATATGCTTACAGAACGAAAGTAGCCTGTGGCCAAGCAAGCACCTCATGACGTGCACATGCAGTGTGCAGTGCTGTTCGTGATCTCAGCCATTCATAGTCATTATTTACAAAACGTGGGGCAAGCAGGAAAAAGGCCCTGGGGGAGAGAAAGCCTGACCGTGCAGTCTTGGATAATCTGCTCTTTCTCTACCAAGTCCTGATGCAGGACCTCAGAGAGTGACTGTGTTTAAGAGTCAGGACTCTAAAGACCGTCCTCTTTAGATGAGGTCACTAGGGCGGGCTCTGATCCCACAGGACCAGCGTCCTCACAAGAAGAGGAGTGAGGACCATACGAGGACACAGGGAGAAGGTGGCGCCTCCGGGTCCAGTAGGAAGGCCTCCGGAGAAGCCAGTCCTGTGACACCCTGATCTTGGACTTCTAGCCTCCAGATCATGAGAAAATAATGTCTGTTGTTTCAGCCTGCTGTACTCTGTTATGGCATCCCCAGCAAATGAACACACTGGATAACAGAAAAAAAAAAAAAATCACCCTTCAAAAGTACTGTAAACTTTGATCCCAAATTAAGTATATGCAGAAGAAGAAAACTCTTATGCTTAAAAGAACAAGATGCCATGAAAAGGAATCAATCCAAGAATAAAAGCTCTTGAAATCTTCAAAAGAGGCAAAAGAAACAAGATTTATATTGTCCTGTCGATGTAGGAACTGACTGTCGGTTTAACCAAAGTGGTTATAAGGCTGCAAATAAGCAGGTGTATTTCTGGGAAAAGGGGGAAGGAGTTTTAAATTTCATCCAGAAGTGACCATCAAGATACTGGCAGATTAGTCACGGCGTCTGGAAACATGGAGGTGGTGCTGGCAGAGAGCTCAGCAAGTCTGGGGTGTGGGGGACAACAAGGAGATGATGGGCCTTTGCCTCTGGGTTCTGGTAGGAGACGCAAAACCCAAGGAGTGTCTTCACTTTCCACAAGCCCTAGTACCATTTGTACGTGTTCCTCATGACAGCCCAGTATCAGGGCTGCCAAACCAGAGAGACCAACCCTGTGAGTAGAGGGCTGGGCTTCTGAGCCAGGTGCCATCAGTTTGTCTCCTCTGGAAAAAGCGAGGGAGCTGGAGACTGGGTTTAATCACGCCTGTGTAACTCATTTAACATAATTAAAACAGCAAACAACAGCAGCAAAAGGTGTAGGGCCAGAGGACTTTACCATTCATCCAATAAACCAAATATGCAAGCCGAGGTTATCTTGCGCTCCCCTCCCTCCCCTCACACACCGTGAATCAAGCAGTCAGAACCCCCAGCAGAGCGCTAGGTCAACTGCTTCTCTGCCTAGATACCAAAGCCAGCCAGGGCCTACCTGGTCACTCTGTCCCTACTAGCCCTCCCCTGCAATCCACCCTCAGCAAACACCAGAATCAATTCTCCAAATTATAGGTCTAATCATCACTCCTGATTAAAGAACCACCTGCATGACACCCACTGCTCAGTGGTCTCCAGTGCACACAACAGCCTCAGCACTTACTGAAACCTGTTGCAATCAGACTCGTCTACCCTGCCGGGCATCCTCATCTTCTCTGTCATCCATCTGACACTAACTACACTAGCCCACTCACTTCTTATGAACTACCAAGTTCTTTTATGCCTTCCTGATTTCATTTACCTTATTTCAACTAAATGGAATGTCTTTCCAAGTTTGTTAAATCCTTACCAATATTTTAAAGTCAAGTTTAAATGTCTGTCTCACTGTGTCATCTACCAACTACGCCAATTATCTCGCTGTTCTCACTGTTCACTGAACCCAGGGTAGGCAAGGTGCATGGAGAAGCTGGAAGAAAACTTGAGAAGCTGTAGCAACTGCCGACACGTTTATTCTCTCCTGACTGGTGCAGCAGCCATAATGTAGCCGCAAGGGATTTTCAGGTGGAGCTCACAAGCTTACAGAACAAAAGTAGCCCGTGGTCCAGTGCACATGTGCAGTGCTATGAGTGATCTCAGTGGTTACATAACCAGGCATTTACAAAACAAGGGGCGAGAGCGAGGGCTATGGGGCAACAGAGCCTGACCACCACCCTCTTGGCTGATTGGCTCTCTCCCTCAGGTTACTTTCTCTAAAAAGTCTCCCGATCCCTCCTTCCACAGAGCTTCATCCTGCTGTGAAACAGAACTGAAATTAAAATACCTCTGGACTCAAAAAAAAAAAAAAAGCATGTGCGCACACACACACACACACACACACACACACAGACACGTACAAAACATAAACAACTAGGACAGACAATTCAGTTTACTCCCAATTTTCTAAATCCATTTTGAAGGCATTTACAGAGGATCATAATCTTACTTCTGGCATCCTCAAAGTTTGTCCAAGTAAAACAAAGTGGTGTCTGGTAATAATAGGTAATTATCTGGGCCACAATGAACAGTCATGAATCACAAGCACAAAATCTATTTTCTTATTTATGACTGAAGAAGTACAGCTCTATTCCAGACACACACATCAATGGCAGCTGAAAATCCAGTGTTCATTACATTGGTTCATAAGCAAAAATTAAATGGCATTCCCTTACCATGATGCATCATCTACATATCTTCAAGCATGGACAAACCATTACCTCAGGCAGATCAGTAAGCCATTTAACTTACAAATATAAGAGTATCTGCTTTCTACATTCCAACATCCACAATGTACATGACAGTACCCACCCACAAGGTATGCACTCCGTAATTATCTATGGAATGAATCCTGGAAGATGTCTCTTTTCAACCCACCCCCAATTAGAACCATCTTGCATTACAGATAATGTTTTTATATTTAAAATCAGAAATATATGAAATACATTACTATCATTCTCAAGAAGGACTAAACAGAATTTAGTTTATGAACATTTTCAGTTTCATAACTCATGCTAAATTAACTAGGATATTTTTAAAGGGAAACTTTCATCTATAGTTGTCATTAAGTGCCTACGGATTTTCCTCACAAGGATTTTACAAACGTGATAAAGCAATAGTCTGAAATTCTGTCATAAGATCTTTCTTACATAAATACACTGAATAGAGGTTAACGAAAGTCTGACTTTGCTGTCATAACCCTCATTTTTTAATTAAAACAATATCTAGCCTTTACAATATACAGCCATATAAGAGTGAAAGAGGTAAGGAATAAAAAGTGAACCTCTAAAATTACACACCACAAGCTAATTTTATCTTTTGAAAGCAGAGTGACAGAGGCAGGAGGTAAAGGAGCTATTATTACCACGTAGGGAAAATTATTACAGATACAGAATAAGCCATTTTTAAGGCAATATCCTTACCCAAGCACACTAATA